CTTCCTGCCTTTACCTCCCTAGTAGCTATGATGACAGGTATGGTCAGCATAACCTTCTTCCTTCATTCTTTTTCTATCCTTGGAACAGCTTTAGTAGTATTAGAATGATTACTTCTCTGAAAAGTTTGAAAAATGATGCTCACCAACCTATCTAGATTTATTGGGTTTTATTGTTTGTTTTTGGTATAGCTTTTAACAGCTTTCATCCATGATGTGTGTGTGTGTGTGTGTGTGTGGTGCTGGGGATATAACCCAGCACCTTGCACATGCTGGACACACACTCTACCACTAAGCCACATCCCCCTAGACTATGTGATTATTTATCTGTTTAGATTTTCTATTCTTCTAAGTCCCTATTGGTAATTTACATTTCCTTGAGTATTATCTATTTCATTCATATTTTATATTGTATTAGCATAGAATTGAATAAAGCATTCCCTTGTAATTCTCATAATTTCCCCTGTACTGATAACTGTAGCCTTTTCTCATTCCAAATTTGTAATGCTGGGTATGGAATACAGGGTCTTAGGCATGCTAGGCAAAAGTATTTTATTCCTTTATCACTTATTATATTTATGAAACCTTCTTTTTTAAAAATTTGTTAGTAAGTGGTTTGTCAGGTCTGTTTGTTTGTTTGTTCTTTTTGGTGTTGGGGATTAAACTCAGGAGTGCTTTACCACTGAGCTACATTCCCAGCTCTTTTATTTTTTATTTTGAGAAAGCATCTGGATAAATTGCCTAGGGACTCGCTAAGTTGCTGAGGCTGGCCTTGATTTTGGGATCTTCCTGCCTCAGCCTCTCCAGTTGCTAGTGTTACAGATATGCCCCACTGTGCTGGGCAAAATTTGTTAATTTTTTTGCTTGCTTCCTCCCACTGCAAAGAACCAGATTTTAGATTTACACATCCTCAGCCCTTTTTTAAAAAATATATTTTTAGTTGTTGATGGACCTTTATTTATTTTTTATTTATATACATTGCTGAGAATAGAACCCAGTGCCTCACACATGCTAGGCAAGCGTTCTTCCACTAAGCCACAACCCCAGCCCCACTTTTTATTTTATTATTATTTTATTTTATTTTTAGAGGGATACTGGGAATTAAACTCAGGGGCACTCAGCCACAGAGCCACATCCCCAGCCATATTTTTATTAAAAAAAATATTTTTTAGTTGTTAATGGGCCTTTATTTTATTTATTTGTAGATGGTGCTGAGAATCAAACCCAGGGTCTCACACATGCTAGGCAAGCACACTACCACTGAGTCACAACCCCAGCCCCCATATTTTGTATTTTATTTAGAGACAGTGTCTCACTGAGTTGCTTAGCACCTTGCTTTTGCTGAGGCAGGCTTTGAGATTGTGATCCTTCTGCCTCAGCCTTCCGAGCTGCTGGGATTACAGGTGTGGCTACAGCGCCTGGCCCTTTTTATTTTTATTTTGAGACAGGGTTTTGCAGAGTGGCACTTGCCTATAATCCCAGCGGCTAGGGAGGCTGAGACAGGAGGATCGAAAGTTCAAAGCCAGCCTCAGCAATGATGAGGCACTAAGCAACTCAGTGAGGTCCTGTCTCTAAATAAAATACAAAATAGGGTTGGGGATGTGGCTCAGTGGTTGAGTGCCCCTGAGTTCAATCCCCAATACCAAAAAAAAAAAAAAAAGAATTACGTGGTGACTTATTTTACCCACTTCGTTTTATTTGTTTTTGTGATGCTGGGGATCCATCAACCCAGGGCTTCTTGCATGCGTTCTACCACTGGGCTCCACCTCCAGCCCTATCAGTTTATTAATATTATGCATTATAATTTTAAAACATCTTTGCCACTTTAGTAGATGTAATGAACTATGTTAGAGTTATGTTTAAACTTTCTGATTATCAAGAACAATGAGTATTTCCCCATGCAGTAGTAGAGGTACTACTTTTTATTTCTTCTTGTGAATTACCTACTTATCTTCTGTAAGGATTATTACCTAGATGGTTCCTCTATATTTAAACAAATTTTTTTATATTTGAGATGTTATCTGCTTACTCTTTGAAGACATTTTGCGTAATCTACTTTTAAAAATTCTGTCCAGGGCTAGGGATGTGGCTCAAGCGGTAGTGCGCTTGCCTGGCATGCGCGGGGCACTGGGTTCGATCCTCAGCACCACATAAAAATAAAATAAAATAAAGATGTTGTGTCCACTGAAAACTAAAAAATTAAAAAAAAATTCTGTCCAGTTTTTACATTTTTGAACGTTGATTTCCTTTGCAGTTTCTTTCATTGCTTCAAAGATTTGAGAATGCTGACATTTACCCTTAAACATAACCGTTACTATTTGGTATAGTGCGTCTATTACATGTTTACCATTTTAATCTATTTGGAGTTTATTTTGATGAGGTGGAACTTGAATTTTTTTCCTCCAAATTTTCATTCATTTACCTAAGCATTCCTGACATAGTTGATCCTTCCTTACTGCTACCACCTTGCCTGTCCTGAAGAATTGAGCATAGGAGTGTGGAATGTTGCTAAGAATAAGTGACAGGTAGGGGCCTCTGTCAGAGATTCGCCTTGGGTGGGAATGAGATTTAGTCTTCAGCAGTCTTTAGTCAAGCACTGCAATTTGCATCTCTATATGGAAACTGAAATACCCCTCAGAAGTATTTTTTTTGGCCAACACTGTTTATTAGGTATTAATAAAAGCCCAAAATGGAGCTGGGCATGATGGCACATACCTGAAATCTCAGTGATTGGGGAGACTGAGGCAGGAGGATCATGAGTTTGAGGCCAGCCTGGGTAATTTAACAAGACCCTGTTTCAATAAGGGCTGGGGTGTATAGCTCAGTGGTAAAGCATCCCTGGATTCAATCCCCTGTACCACCAAAAGATAAAGCCAAAAGTGGTTGTCTTTGTGTAAGAAGACAAAACTCGTCTCCCAAATCTGAAGTCAACACTTTCCATAGTAACATCCAAGTGACCTGAGGAGGCAATCAGGGTTCTTCTCTATTACTCTCCCCATTTTCTTTCATGAAATGACTTTCTTCAAGGAGTTGGGCCTCAAAAAAGATACTCCTGGGTTGGGTTTGTAGCTCAGTGGTAGAGTGCTTGCTTAGAATGTGTGAGGCACTGGGTTCAATCCTCAGTGCCACATATAAATAAATAAAGTTATTGTGTCCATCTACAACTAAAAATATTAAAAAATACTACAGAGTCTGGCACATTGATAAAAAGAAAAGCAGTATCAGAACAAAGCTTCTTTTGACCTTCTGTCATTCCACCCACTCAAAGCACAAAGAGGGGTCCCTCTGAAGTTCAATTATCTAAGACAGGTTTCTCCATCAGATATACATTTATCTTGAGTACCATCCCTATAGTCTTATCAAACAGGGAAAATAGCCTGCCGTGGTGGTACATGCCTGTAGTTCCAGCAACTTAGGAGGCTGAGGCAGGAGGATTGCAAGTTTGAGGCCAGCTTGGACAAGCTGGTGAGACTCTGTCTCAAAATTAAAAAAATAAAAAGGTCTGGGGATATAATTCAGTGGTAGAGGACACCTATGTTCAATTCCCCAAAAAAACAAGAAGATTAACTCCTAGGAAAGGAACACTAGAACACCACAACAATAACCCAAACAGACTTTCTTTCAGGCTATTGTTTGTTTTTCAAGTTCATTCATCTCCCTCAAAATCACTTACTCCATGTCTCCTGTCCTCATTCACGAAACCTCACCCCCTATGTCATTCTATAGTTTAAACTGCTATTTAAGTTTCAACAATTGGGGCTTTTGAGTCTCATGTTTTTTTGTGGTTGTCATGTGCATATGTGCATAATAAATGTGTATACCTTTTTCTCCTATCAATCTGTCTACTATCAGTTTCTTTGTATAGACTCACAGGGCAGGGGGATCTTCCTTTTGTGCCTACAAAGACCATCCCATGGGGCACAAGTATGTAATCCCAGTGACTTGGGAAGCTGAGACAGGAGGATCATAAGATGAAGGCCAGACTCAGGAATTACTGAGCCCCTGGCTGGGGGTATAGCTCAGTGGTAGCATGCCTCTAGGTTCAGTCACCAGTAACACACACACGATTCTCCTGTGGCTGGTATAGCTAAGTGGTAGAGCACTTGCTTAGTATGCATATGGCTCTGGGTCCCATCACTAGCATTGTAGACAACAAAAAACAAAACAAAGCAAAACCAAACTGTCCCAGTCAGGACACAACTGATCCATTTGTCCCAGAATGAGGTGAACCACAGATGATAAGGCTTGTGGATTGCTCCCCAAACCATCAGAACACCTCCTTGGGCTGACCCCCAAGGTGCATCGTCATGCCTTTCATGAACCAGTTCTTTTCTTTTCAGTTTTGAGAATCTTGATTGCCCCTTCATAATAGTGAAGCCTATGTTTGCAGAAAATTATGGAGGTTTTTTTTTTTTTTTTTTTTTTTTTGTCATTGCTGCTTGATTGGTTAAAAGAATATGAAGCAATTTCAGGATACTAGAAAATGCTAAAGCAATGGGAAGCCTGTCTGACCAGTTTTATCTGGGTAAAACCTCCTATGAGTGTTGGACCTGCTCCCAAGTGGGACCTAGTGTCCTCTCAGGGCCAAGATAGCTCAAAAGCCCTGCCACTGCTCTGGAGCAAAGGTTTCCTGTTTTAAAAGATAAGGTAATCCCCCTGGGGCACAGAGCTTTTAACTCTTTGCTTTTCCCATAGAAATTGCATAATTCGTGTGGTGGGCCCTGGGATTGAGCCTATAGCTCAGATTCTAGCTGTTTCTCATGTCTCTTTGTGAGGTTGGGGGCTTTGGGGCAAATTAGTGAAAGTGCTCAGGCTTGGGGAGAGCTTTCATATGCTCAAGAATCCTGGGCATCCCAGGGAAGGCCTCAGAGGTGAGATCAGTTAGGCAGAAAAGTAAACAAAATTGCTTTTGCCAGAGAATTTTCATTGTAACACTCATGCAGTTTATCCTGAATTTTGAGCATTCTTCACTCTCACATCACTTTCTGTCCCTTCAATTTCAGCCATGCCCTGGAAGCAAAATGAATCTCCTGGAGAATTGAGGAGTCCCTGTATCTCTCAAGCCAGGTGAGTTTAGAATAAGAGGAAGCAGTTAGCTGTGATGCTGCTGCTATGCAAAGCCTCCAGGAGTTACTTGGAAGTTTAAATTTCCAGTTATCATAAAGGACCCCATATTCTAAAGGGAGAAACAGATAATATAAATTCACAAAATACAAGTCGCATATCTACAGCAGAAAGGGAAAGGCTAACACAAACATATTTCTCAGAAGGACAGGTTACATAATCTGTGGGGGCTTAGCGTGAAATGAAAATGTGAGGCCTCTAAGTAAAAAAGTAAGAAAAAATTGCTTTGAAAGGAACAGCAAGCCAGACACAAAAAGACAAATACTCGCTGGGCTCGGTGGCACACACCCATAATCCCAGTGGCTTGGGAGGCTGAGGCAGGAGGATAGCGAGTTCAAATCCAGCCTCCATAATTTATCAAGCCCCTAAGCAATTCAGAGAGACTCTGTCTCTAATAAAATACAAAAAGGGCTGGGGATGTGGCTCAGTGGTTAAGTGCCCCTGAGTTCTATCCTTGGTACCAAAAAATAAATAAATAAAGGACAAATACTCACTGGACATGTGGCACATACCTAGAATCCCACCAACTTTGGAGGTTAAAGCAGGAGGATCAAAAGTTTGATTCCCATCTCAGCAACTTAGTGAAGCCCTAAGCAACTTAGAGATTGTGTTTCAAAATAAATAATAATAAAGGCAGGGATGTATGTAGCTCAGTGGTTAAGCACCCAGTACCAAAAAAAAAAAATATTGTATGATATGAATTGCCTAAAGTAGTCAACTTCATAGAGATAGATTGGTGATTGTCGGGGGTGGGAGGAGGAGGAGGAATGGGGAGTTAGTGTTTAATGAGTACAGAGCTTCACTTTAGGTGATGAAAAGTTCAGGAACTGAATGTGGTAATGGTTGCATGAGAATGTGAATTTACTTAATGACACAGAATTGCACACTCTAACATAGGCTTGCCTAGCATGCACAAAGCCCTGGGTTCAATCCTCAGCACTGAAAAAAAAAAGTTAAAATGGTAAATTTTATTATATGTATGTTTACGTATTTTATTAATTATTAGTAGTAGTACTAGAGATTAAATTCAGGGGTACTTTTCCGCTGAGCTATATCTCCAGTCCTTTTTATTTTTTACTTTGAGGGTCTTGCTAAGTTGCTGAGACAGGCCTTGAATTTGAGATCCTCCTGCCTCAGCCTCAAGAGTTGCTGGGATTATAGGTATGCATCACCACACGCAGCTTATTGTATGTATATTTAACAGCATGTGAGCACACACACACACACACACAGATACAAAAAAGGTAGACACACATAGCTTGTCCCTTGTAGTCTCTATCTTGATTTGTCATTGACTTTATTTGCTATTTAATATTCTAAAAAAAAACTAAACATTGAAAGTTTTAGCATAGATTTTACGCCTCATCTTTGTGTGTGTGTGTGTGGGGGGGGTGTACTGGGGACTGAACTCAGGGGCACTCGACCACTGAGCCGCATCTCCAGCCCTATTTTGTGTTTAGAGACGGGGTCTCACTGAGTTGCTTAGCACCTTGCACTTGTCTCAGCCTCCTGAACTGCTGGGATTATAGGCATGTTCCACTGCCTTCATCTTTATATTCTTGTGTTAATCAGCTTTCTCTCATTGGAATAATTCAACTTAAAAAGAGAAAAGGTTTATTCTGGCTTACAGTTATGGAGTTTCTAGTCCACAGTTGGTTTGATTTGGGGACCTGTGGTGAGACTGTACATCACAGCAGAAGTGCATTGCACAGAAAATTGTTTACCATGGCAGCCAAGAAGCAGAAAGAGGCTGGGGTCCCAATATCCCCTTCAAGGGCATGCCCCCAATGAACTAAGTTCCTTCCATTAGTCTCTCCCTCCTAAAGGTTCCACCATTTCATAATAGCACCACAGGCTGGGAATGAAGCCTTCAACACATGGACATTTGGGAGACATTCAAGATCCAAACTATAACAATGCTTCAGTGCCAAATTTATTTATTTATTTTTGAGAGAGAGAGAGAGAGAGAACTTTTAATATTTTATTTTTTAGTTTTCGGCGGACACAACATCTTTGTTTGTATGTGGTGCTGAGGATCGAACCCGGGCCGCACGCAAGCCAGGAGAGCTCGCTACCGCTTGAGCCACATCCCCAGCCCTTTCAGTGCCAAATTTAAAAGCAAATATCAAGAGTATTTAATTCAGCCAGGCATGGTGGCATACATCTGAAATACCAGCAACTTGGGAGGCTGAGGCAGGAGGATTCCAAGTTCAAAGCCAGCCTCAACAACTTAGCAAGGCCCTAAGCAACTTCGCGAGATCCTTTCTCAAAATAAAAAAGACTAGGATGTAGCTCAGTGGTTAAGCACTCCTAGGGCAATCCCTGATTTAAAAAAAAAAAAAAGTATTTAACTCATATTTGGAATCACTGAAATAACACAAAATTAGAATTGAGTAGAAGAGACATACACAAGTCTGGCTTAGGAGAGCTGGAAGGAGAAGATGATCCCAGCAGAGCCTGCTGAGAACCATCCTGGACATGGGACCTCATAGGTGACTGTGGTATTCACAGGTGCTTGTGAGCCTGACATCTGCCAGATTCTCCTTCCTGCCAGGTATCTCTCCTTCCCACAGCACTGCCAAGCCAGTCCATAGTAAACAGGTTTATCCAAGTATCTTTAAAGCTCAGAGCTGGAATGCTCTTGGAGAAGAGGTATGCCTGAGGCTCAGGGTGGGAATGGCCACCACCACACCCCACTCCACAGGGTTTATGCAGAGTGTGGCAGCAATTGTGGGTGAGGGCAAGAAGTAGGAGGCCAACAGTGGGGAGGTTGTGATGGTGAGAAACCTTCCAGGGAGGCAGCAGGAGTAGGACTCTGTGTGAGCCCAGGCTCCAAGTCTTCAGGACATGCTCCACTATTGCATAGGACTCCACAAAACAGATTCAAAGATAAAACTATTAAGAATTTCAAGATGGCAAGTTGGATTTGTAGCTCAGTAGTTGAGTGCTTGCCTAGCATATGTGGGCACTGAATTTGATCCCCAATACCACATAAAAATAAATAAATAATATAAAGGTATTTTTTTCATCCACAACTAAAAAATATTAAAAAAAAAAAGAATTTCAAGATGGCAGGCACAGTGTATTAAACCTTAAGTTCAGGGCCCCTCTAAGTACAGGTTCTTATTCAAACTGTACTGATAACACACTCGGGATGCCAAAGGTTGGGCGCGGTGGCACTTGGCTACAGTATTTGACAGATCCTTTTATCCCCAAAGGATACCTAAATACAGAAAGTGCTCCAGTGGAGGGGGTGGAAGAAGCTCACGTGTTCCCTTTTACTCCTTGGCAACAAGCCTTCAGCTGTGCCCCTTTTCACCTTTTGCTCACTGTTGAGTGATCTGCTCATAGTTGACTGGCCTATGATCTTTTCTGAGAACATACTGGAATGTAAGTTCATAAATACAGTCAATTTCAACACTGAAATTCAGTCAATTTCAACAGTTTCCCAAGTTGCTTACCTAGCCTAGGGCTGCCATACAGGGAGGCCGGCTATGATACTGGACAAGCTTAGTTTGTCCCTGAAAGACTGGGAGGTGGGCATGGGGGAAGAAGAGATCTGACTCTCTGTGTAGCTGCTACCTGTAAAGCAATATGGAGGCCATCATTCTCGATATATTTACTAAGTTGGAGGAATGCAGACTGTTGACAATGAGCTTTTTCTTTGTAATAGCCCTAAGTTGTGCCTGGGGTAGGGTAGGGTGTTTTACTTGGACTGAAGGGTTTGCCTTGAGCATTATCTGGATTGTATTACAGAGGGTTATGTTCCCTGGTTCCATTGTTCAAGTGTAGTCATGTTTCATCGAGTGCCTTTCTGAGATTTTTCAACTTTGGACTTCTTTCCACATCTTGCACTTGAACAGACCTCAGAGCAGCCTCATTGGTAACTGTCAACACAGCAGCTGGAGTCTGGAGGAAATATACCATCTCACTAATAAGTTGCGGACACCCAGCAGCACATGGTGCCCTTCTCTCTGGATGCAGCGGGATATAATCATGTTCATTAAAACTGTTCAACTCAGCCCTCCCCAGTCTAACTGGCAAAGGTGCTGAAATCTGAGAAAAGACAGATTAAGGAGCCAAAGGAGGCAGGTAGCTTGGGTTTTAGTACTAGAAAGCAAAGCACAATAGCCTACCTGGCCCAGTGGAGCAGCTCCCTGACAGTAGTCAGGGACCAACCCTGGTAGGATGGAGCCCCACCCTGTGATTCATAGGTTGTGGTCTGTCCCACTATGCTAGCACTTGTTGAGACTCAGGCCTTAAAGTAGTAGTTCTGTGTGTGCTTAAATGTCTCCATCAACAATGAAGGCTGTCATCAACTCGGCAAGACCCCGTCTCTAAATAAAATATAAAAAAAAGGCTGGGGATGTGGCTCAGTGGTTAAGTGCCCCTGAGTGGTTCAGTCCCCAGTACCAAAAAAAAAAAAAAAAAAGAATGAAGGCTGGATTTGGATTTGTAGGCAACTAGGAACTTTTCTAATGCTATACATTTAGGAAGGCTTTGAAGGGAAAGCAACCAATCCTTTCTCTGTCCAACCTTGAAGTGTTTCTCATATTAAATGCCCAAGTCATGACCCCTTTAGCAAGAGTTCAAAGGGCCCAACCAAAGATAAAATTTACATTAAATAAAACAGCACATTTCTCCCTTTGTATTGTAGAGCTTAAAATGAAAAATAACCACATTCCAATGCTCTAGCAAACAATGCTGGGCTTTAAAGGACAGTGCAGGAGTGGCTAATGTAGGACAGCCCTTTACCTTTTTTTTTTTAATATTTTAAAATTTTTTTAGTTATAGTTGGACACAATACCTTTATTTTATTTATAATTATATGATGCTGAAGATCAAACCCAGGGCCTCACACATGCTAGGCGAGTGCTCTATCGCTGAGCCACAACCCCAGCTCCATACCTTTTCTTTTTACCTTGGTGGATTGAATTTACATCATAAAATAATATCTAGTGTGTCAGGTTATTAGGAAATAAGAAATGGCCAAAATACATCTAGATAATCTCTGCTACAAATAATCATTTAAAGAGGAAGCTGTGGTGTAAAAAATTCTCTGGGTAAATTAGCTTTGTTGGTTGCTCAGTTTCCTTATGTATAAAATGGAGATAGTAAATCCCAAATACCTCACAAGAGGCTGGATGCAGTGGTATGCACCTAATCCCAGCTACTTGGAAGACTGAGGCAGGAGAATTGCGAGTTTGAGGCCAGCCTCAGCAATTTAGCAAGACCCTATCTCAAAATAAAAATCTGAAAGGTCTTAGGATGTATTTCAGTGACATAGAGCCCCTGGGCTTAATCCCCAATATCCCAAAACAAAGCACCCAAATATCTCACAAGGTTGTCATGAGTACATAAAAAATATAGAAAAGTACTTTTTTTTTTTTTTGGTACTATAGATTGAACCTAGGGGCACTTTATCATTGAGCTACATCCCTAGACATTTTAAATTAAGTTTGAGACAGGGTCTTGCTAAATTGCTGAGGCTGGCTTCAAAATTACAATCCTTAGCCTGAGGCTGTAGCTCAGTGGCAGAGCACTTGTCTTGCATGTGTGAGGCACTGGGTTTGATCCTCAACACCGCATAAAAATAAACTAACTAAATAAATAGATAAATAAATAAATAAAAGCATTCTGTCGATCTAAAACTCCAAAAAAAAAAAATTGTGGGCTGGGGTTGTAGCTCAATGGCAGAGCGCTTGCCTTGCGCATGTGAGGCACTGGGTTTGATCCTCAGCAATACATAAAACTAAATAAATAAAATAAAGACATTGTGTCCATGTATAACTAAAAAAATATTTTTTAAAAAAATTGCAATCAGGGGCTGGGGTTGTGGCTCAGTGGCAGAGTGCTTGCCTAGCATGCATAAGACACCAGGTTGGATCCTCAGCACCACATAAACGTAAGATATTGTGTCCACCTAAAACTTAAAAAAAAAATTGCAATCCTTCTGCTTCGGTCTCCCAAATTGCTAGAATTACAGTATGCAACACTGAATCCGGTTCTATTACTGGTACTTTCTGAAATACTTCCCTACGCACATTAATTTAACAAAACAAATATAAAGGTAAAATTTTAAAAATTGCTGTATTCAAAATTAATAATAAAATTAAGGGTAAACAGGCTTTAAAACAAAAGCACATAAGCAAAAATAAATAATTTACACCACCCCACTAACCTAATTTTCATAGTAAAGCCCTTTCCAATTAAAGCACTGGCCACCAGCCTCTGTCAACTTTTTTTTTTTTGGTACCAGGAAGTGAACCCAGGGGCACTTAACCACTGAGCCACATTCCCAGCCTGTCCCCCGCCTTTAAAAAAATTTTTTTTGGTAGTTATAGATTTATACCTTTTTCTTTCTTTATGTGGTGCTGAAGATCGAACCCAGGGCCTCACACATGCTAGGCAAGCGCTCTACCACTGAGCTACAACCCCAGCACCCCCAGCCCTTTTTATATTTTATTTATAGACAGGGTCTCACTAAATTGTTGAGGCTGGCTTTGAACTCTGATCCTCCTATCTCAGTGTCCTAAGCTGTTGGGATTACAGGCATGTGCCACGGCACCTGGCTTCTGGTGAAACTTTTGACAATTCATTATTTAAGAAACAAAAACAACAAAAACACTTAGTTGGTAGAGTGCTTGCCTTGCATGTACAAGGCCCGGGATTTGATTCCCAGCACCACAAAAACAAACAACCTGCCCAAAACAGTAATAAATGTGTCAAAATACATTCTACTGCCATGTATAACCCATTAGAACACATTAAAAAAAAAAAAAAGTAACAAAAGACTGAACACTTAGTAAAATCTTTAACAAAACCCAAATGCTGGATTTAATGTTTTAATTTTAAATAACCAAACTTTATAATTCTATACATAATCCAATTAATGCTAATAAAATTAGCATTTAAGCTCCAAGGGTTGGTATGTAACAGGGATAGTCTTCAAACCATGAGATACAAATAAAAATGAACAAGTATATAGTAGAACAAAAACTGCAGACACTCTACTAACTCAGGGAAATATCTGAAGGCTTTACATCCTTTATTGACCATGATGGCTTTTGGAATTATGATTGTTTGACATGTAGAACCTTGACATTTTAGATACAGGCTTTATTTTTTATTTTTTTCACAGTAAGTTAATAATCCATTATAACACTCCGAAAGACTTCACTGGTCTTGCAAGTGGATTCTAGGAGTTTGTGATCTGATAAAAGAGTAACATGAAAATTTACTGTATTGCCCTAATTTCATACTTCCTTGTACACAATGAATCACTTTGGGAATCTATTCCAAGGGTTATATACACAAAAGTGTCAAGAATAAAATGTTCTCCACTCTTGCATAAAAATGTGTACAGTGTGTCAGGAATGGAAAACTTCTGGTTTTCCAGGGCCCGGGCTTCAGGCATTTCTGCTGCCAGAAGATGGGATTTCTGCTGCCACAAGATGAAAGGCTCCTTCTGCTTTATTGCTTCATTGTTTTGAGGATTAGTCATCCAACCCTGGCGTTTCCCCTTGTTGGATCCTAGATGCTATTCTAATGGCTTCTTCCAGAGATGGCTGTTCTCCAAGCTGAAAGAGGAACATACACATCAAACACTAACAATCCAAAACCCACAGCCAAGATAATGCTGAAAGAAATGTTATATGCCAGAAGTGAAATGTCTCTCTGTAATTTTAGGGCTTGTTAAAAATATTATTCTGACCTAATCATTTAGAGTACAAAACCAAATTTCTGTGGGGGGGAATAATGCAGTTTGTTTATTTGGGATTTTGATAAATTCTTTATACATTTCAAGGGACAAAAGGTAGTCATCTTGGCCAGTCTGGAGATGAAGAACTTCTCAGACTGTTAGCTTCTCTACCCATAAATTAAAGAAAACTAACCTGGCATATTGGCTGGCATTTTCTTGAGTGTGTTCCAACCCTTTATCAAGTAAACACATGGAAGAAAATTGTCCCCAAGGAAAGGATATCTGCACCTAGCATCCAGGATTCTAGATTCTCTACTTGAATCCAGTGACTTTTCCCAGAGAGTAGCTCCTTGCAAGTCTTCTGACATTCCCCACTTTAAAAGGGGGGCAGTGCAGGGATTCTCAGAAGACTAATTTAGGATCTGTGTTTATACTAGGTTCACCTCCAAGAGTAGCTCTTAAGAACTTTACAAAATACTGCCTAGTTAGACTTTTATTTTGATAGTAAAGATGGCTGGTTGGGTACACACAGGGACACATGCCTGAGATATTTTTCTTGCTATAAATTTCTCAAGAATATGCAGAGGTAGTAAAGAACAAAATGTTAGTCTCTTTGAGATCACCTCAGATATAGAAATTTTCTTAAAGTAAGCTAGGTATCCAGATATGTCTGTGTCCTGCTTTTGTGTGGGTCACATATAAAGCCCAGTGTCCTGGGTTGAGAGCTCTGAGTATCACTGCTGTCAGCTGAAAATAGCCTGTCCTTGTACTCACCTGAACTGCAATCTGGGTGCCATTGGATGTTGCCACTAAGGTCAGAGGTCTGGTTTCTGTGGTTACTAAATGATGGCTATGCTGCTGGTGCCCTATTTCTGATGAGGCTGTATGGAATGCTGCCAGGTCTTGAGCAACAATTGCAACCTTAAGTAAAACAAAGCACACATGAAGACTTAAGTCTATGACTCAAATAGGCTGAAGTCCATTTAATGCAAGGGATTGTCTTTAAATTCAAAAGGAAATACTCCTTTCTGATCATAGAATTATGAAGCCTATCACTGGAGGAGACCTTATATATCCATTCTGGATTTTTTTTTTTTTTGGTACCGGGGATTGAACTTAGGGGTATTTAACCACTGAACAACATCCCAGCCCCATTTTGTATTTTGTTAGAGACAGGATCTCACTGAGTTGCTTAGCACCTTGCTTTTGCTGAGTCTGGCTTTGAACTCAATCCTCCCGTCTCAGCCTCCTGAGCCACTGGGATTACTGGCGTGCACTGCCAGGCCTAGCTTGGACTCCTCTCTTGTATTTGAGGAAGTTAAGGCTCAGAGAGAAGGGATTTTTTTACGTTTATGAAGTGAACCATTGGCAAAATAGAGTAGAGGACACTGGAGAAGTAGATCTGCTGTACTAGGGATATGTGGTTGTACTTAGGATCTATTACCTGGAAACAGCTGCTTGGAAAATTATATTGGTAGACTACATTACAAATGTTATTTATTTCTGAGTGTGGATCAGTGATAGATAATATTAACCTGTTTCATTTAAAATTAAATTTCCATTTTTAAAAATATTTGTTTTTAGTTGTAGTTGGACACAATACCTTTATTTCACTTATTTAAATTTTTTATGTGGTGCTGAGGATCAAACCCAGGGTCTCCGCACGTGCGAGGCAAGTGCTCTACTGCTGAGCCAAACTCCAGCCCCTAAATTTCCATTTAACTAGGAAAACTGGAAGAACCAATAGTATTACTGATGAACAACATCACTTCTTATACTCATTTATTTATTTCTGTTCTGTGGATTGAACCAAGGGACACTTTGCCACTAAGCCACATCCCCTGCTCTTTTTATTTTTTAAGACAAGGTCTCTCTAAGTTGTTTAGGGCATCACAAAGTTGCTGAGGCTGGTTATGAATTGTGATCCTCCTGCCTAAACTTCCTGAGTCACTGGGATTTCGGGTGTCTGCCACTGAACCCATTTTAAATTTCCAATCTAAATTTCCCATTTTAGATTCCACAGAACCTTTTGATATTCCTCCTGAAGCCTCTGGCCAAATATGTTAACAGTGCTTGTGTAACTCTTACACCACAAATGTATTAGCTTTTCCCTTTTTATTTTGAGACAGGGTTTCTGTAAATGACTGAGGCTGACCTTGAACTTGTGATGATCCTCCTGCCTCAGCTTCCTGAATAGCTGGAATTACAGACTTGCTCACAGAACCTGGCATAAATACAACTTCTTTTTAAATTTTATTTATTTGGTGCTGGAGATTGAACCCAAGGGTGCTTTACCACTGAGCTACATCCCCAGTCCTATTTTAATTTCTGAGACAGGGTCTTGCTAAGTTGCTTAGGACCTAAGTTGCTGAGGCTAGCCTCAAACTTGAGATCCTTATGCACCACTCTGTCTTGTTAATGTAGCTTTTAAAAATGTATATGATATAGAAAATGATAAAAACTACTTTTGTTACATGATATTCTGAAGTTTCTAGGCTGGTGTGCAGCTCATATCAGTAGAACATTTGATTAGCATGTACTAGGTACTGGGTTGATCCCCAGTACTGAAAAATAAATAAATAAGATTTCTTTAGCCAAATTCAGAGAAAGAAACAGATTAAAAATTTAAATTGTTCAACCACAAGACTGGGATCCTAGTTAGAATATACTCTTATGTTTGTATAAATATGTCAAAATATACTCTACAGGCATGTATATCTAAAAAGAACAAATAAAATTTTTGAAAAGTAAAATTGCTGTTTTACTTGGCAATTAATCTATTAAAAATGGCACATTTTTAAGCAAATAGATATTTAGCTTTGATCAATTCCACTAATGTTCAAAAAATAGCAAAAAACAAAAACTGGATTTCAGTTCACCAATAGCATAGAGGCCTATACTGTTTGTTTGTTTTGTGAGGTGTACCTAGGGCCTTCTACATGTTAGGTAAGTGCTCTACCACTAAGCCAGCCCCTGGAGTAGTTTAAACTAGACTAAACCTCCTGAAGATAACAATTATAAACTCTTGACAAAAATATAAAAAAGCAAATTTGAAGACACTGAAGAACAATGAAAAACAGGAAAAATAACTAGACAGGATTCTCAAAAGAAGAGAATCACCTGGGTTACATCTATGCTTTAGATAGATTTTCCTCTGAAGATGAGAACCATCTTTTTGACATGGAGTAACTTAGGGTATAATGGAATCCAAGGCTTCCAGAATAGCTATACGTTGAGAGGGATATGTAAGAAGGAATTAACTAGAGAGAGGACCCTCAAATCTACTTTCCTCAAATCCTTAAGACCTATAAAACCACAAATATGTGCAGTTTGCAGTAAAGTCCCAATAAACAGTAGCTGATTCTAGGCCTAAGGGAAATGATTCTGAGTTTGTAAACTCAAATTGACATGAAGGAAAGCCACTGGAAATGATGAATTAGTTAATAAATACAAAGTATTATGTTCTCACCTATCTGTAACATAATTTAGAAGATTAACTGCTTAATGCCAAAATACCATATAGGGCTGGGTGTGGTGGCACACACCTATAATCCCAGCGGCTCGGGAGGCTGAGACAGGAGGATCTCGGGTTGAAAGCCAGCCTCAGCAACAGCGAGGTGCTGAGCAACTCAGACCCTGTGTCTAAATAAAATACAAAATAGGGCTGGGGATGTGGCTTAGTGGTTTTGTGCCCCTGGGTTCAATCCCCGATACCTCCGCCAAAATAAAAATAAATAAATAAAAATCTGGGGCTGTAGCTCCATGGTAGAGCACTTCCCTGTATGAGGCACTGGATTTGATTTTCAGCACTGCATATAAATAAATAAATAAATAAAATAAAGGTCCATCAACAACTAAAATAATAATAATAATAATAATAATAATAATAATAATAAAGACTAGCACTATTATCTATTTTTAAAAAACTTGAAACCATAATAAAATTCCTCCAAAAGGAAAAACTCCAGGCTCAGATGATGTCACTAATTCTATTGAACTTTTAAGGAAAAAAAATAATGCTAACCTTACACAAACAGAAAATTGTACTGAAGAAATCACTTCCCAACTTGTTTTATAAAGCTGGCACAGCTTTGATTTGGAAATAGATGAACTCACAGGGAAAAAAAAAATTATAAAGATGAACATCAACATACAAATTTTCAAAAAATTTTAACAAAATATTAGCACAGTGTTATAGACATAAGCAAATTGTTATTGTTTTCCATAGTAGCTGTGACTTTTTTTTCTATGTACTGGGAATTGTGCTTTTTGTGTATGTATGCTACTGGGAATTGGAACCCAGGGCCTAGTACATGCTAAGCAACTGCTTTACCACTATGCTACATCCTCAGCCCTTTTTATTTTATTTTGAGACAGGATCTTACTGAGTTGCTAAGGCTGGCCTCAAACTTGCAATCCTCCTGCCTCAGCCTCCTAAATCACTGAGACTACAGGTATGTGCCACCACACCACAGACCTATAAAACCACAAATATGTGCAGTTTGCAGTAAAGTCCCAATAAACAGTAGCTGACTCTAGGCCTAAGGGAGATGATTCTGAGTTTGTAAACTCAAATTGACATGAAGTCTGTGCCATTTTACATTCTTACTAGTGATACTTAAAGAGTTCCAATTTCTTTACATCTTTGCTAACATTTTTTTTTTTTTGGGGGGGGGGGTGTTGTATAATAGACATCCTAATGGGGGTGAAGTAAAAGTTCACTTTAATTTTGATTTGTAGTTCCCTAATGATTGATATTGAACATCTTTTTATGAATTTCTTGGCCTTTTTTTTTAATGTCTACTTAAGTTCTTTGCTCATTTTTAAGTTGGGGTTTTTAGTGTTGTTGTGCAAATCAGAGATGATTTGCAAATCAGAGATATGATTTCCAAGTATTTTGTAGGCTATCTTTTCACTCTCTTGGTAATAGTAATATCCTTTTTTTTTAAAAAAAATATTTTTTTAGTTGTACATGGACACAATACCTTTACTTATTTTTATCTGGTGCTTAGGATCGAACCCAGTGCCTCACACGTTCAAAGCGTATGCTCTACCACTGAGCCACAACCCCAGCCCTTGGTAATATCCTTTTGATGCACAAAAACTTTTTTCTTTCCAGTGCTAGAGATTGAGCCATGTTAGGCAAGTGCTCTACTGCTGAGCTACACTTTGATGAAACACAATTTATCTATTTTTTCCCCTTTCATTGTCTTATGCTTTTAGTGTCATATAAGAAATCACTGCCTAGTCCAAGGTCATGAAGATTTTCATCTATTTTCCTCTTAGAGTTTTACAGTTTTTGCTCTTAAATTCAGATCTTGATCCACTTTGAATTATTTTTTGTACATGGCATAAGGGCACAATTTCATTCTTTTGCATGTGGATATCCAATCTTCCCAGTACCATTTGTTGAAAAGACTATCCTTACTCCATTGAATGGTCAGTTTAAAAAATGTATATATATATTTTTTTAAACTGTGGATGGACATAATACCTTTATTTTATTTATTTTTATGTGGTGCTGAGGATCAAACCCAGAGCCTTATACTTACTAGGCAAGTGCTCTATTACTGAGCCACAACCCCAGCCCTCAATTTTTTAAAAAATATTTATTTTCTTTTTTTAGTTGTAGGTGGACACAATACCTTTATTTTATTTTTATGTGGTGCTGAGGATTGAACCCAGTGCCTCAGGTGCCAGGAGAGTGCTCTACATTTGAGCCACAACCCCAGCCCTGAATGGTCAATTTTTAAGCAGACAGGGGGTATAACTCAGTGATAGAGTGTGCTTAGCATACATAAAGAAATCGGTTTGTTCCTATGCACTAACCCCAAAAAATTAAGAATGGGAAATGCAGTAGTGGGAGGGGAAGAAGGAGAGGAAAAGGAGGGGACTGAGTCAGGAAGGACTTCCCAATGAATATACAAAAACAGCTGTAGCCAATTTAAGGATTAAAGTAATTCACAGGTTATGTCCAAACATCCCAGAAGCCAACATTTGCCCAAAGACCAACCGCTGCAGCTGCTGCAGCAGCCAAAGGAGTAGTCCTTAGGTGAAACCCCCACCCCTTGTGTTATTTTCTTTTGCTGGAAACTGCCTGGTTTCATTCCAGTTTTCAAAGTCTCATCTCCTGATTAGTTTCCATACTCACAAGTCTATAGACAATCTACATAAGAATGCTTGTCTTAGGGTCTGGACTTGTAGTTGGTACAAGGTATATTTACCCAAGCTGGGTTATAAACCCATCCTGGAATCTTTGAACCAAGGAAATGACTGCAAACTGATTATTAGGTGGGACCTCCTGTTCACAATATAGCCTGAAGGCAAGTACCTGTGCTTTGTTTTGGTCTCTATAGTAAAAAAAGGAATGAAAAAAAATGGACAGATGTTAGGTAGTCTGTTGAATTCTGACACTTAGATACATCTCTAAAACCACTACCTAAAACAAAATCTGGAGTAATCTTTTCATATTCTACTTAATCAATTTCCCTCCAAAATGGATTAATTCTGTCTGTCCATAGTTCATATAATCATACAATATGTATCCTAGTGGAATTGCTGTGTTATAGAGTAGAGATGTTTGACTTTATTGATTTTTTAGTACTAGGGATTCAACCCAGGAGAACTTACCCACTGAGTTTCATCCCCAGTCCTTTTGCTCTTTTATTTTGAGACAGGGTCTCACTAAATTGCTGAGGCTGGCCTCTAACTTGCAATTCTCCTGCCTCAGCCTCCCAAATTACACATGTGTGCAATGGCTCCTGGCAATAGAATCATACGATATGTGTTCTAATTGGAGTTTCTGAATCATAAAGTACAGAGTTCTTTGATTTTATAAGAAAACTACCAAATGACTCAGATGGATGTTTTATTTTATACTCCCACTAGCTGCTTTACATCCTTGTCAACATTTGGTTTTAGATTTTAGCCACTGTCTTGGGTCTAAGATGGTATCTCATAGTGATTTTTAATTTGCTGTTTCTTCCCTCCATCCCTTCCTTTCCTTCTGTGCTGGCGATCAAACTCAAGGTTTCTGCTAGATAAGTGCTCTATCCTTACCCCCTTATTTTGTATTTCTTTGATGAACAAAAATGTGGAGCATTTTTTTTTTTTTGCATTATAGGTCATACAGACTAAATCTTCTTTGGGGAGAAGTCTGTTCAAATAAAGAATATAAATAGAATGATCTGTACATTTAAAAATTTAGCAGGTGTGCCTGCAGGTGCCATAATGTCAGCGACTTGGGAGGCTAAGGCAGGAGGATCACAAGTTCAAAACCCAGCAAGGCCCTAAGCAACTCAGCAAGACCCTATCTCATTAAAAAATAAAAAGGGCTGGGGATGTGGCTTACCGGTTAAGAGTCCCTGGTACAAAAAAAAAAAAAAAAAAGTTTAAAAAGTTTTCATTTTTGTTCATTTTTATTGTTGATTTGTAGCTGTTATTTATTATTTATATACATATATAAATTTAAAAAAAATCTTTTCCCTGTCTGAGGGATATCTAATCCTTACCTTACATTGCCTTAGTGAGCAGAATTAACTTTAAGTCCAATGTATCCGGTTTTTTTTTTTCCCTTTTGTTAGTGCCTCTTATATTCTGTCCAAGAAATCTTTACCCCGAGGTTCAAAAATATTTGCCTCTCTTCTAGAAGTTTTATGATTCTGAGTTTTGCATTTCAAGGTATATAAGACCTCCAACTTTGTTCTATTTAGGAGGCTAAAGTGAGAGGATTTCTTGAGCCCAGGAGTTAAGAGAATTGCCTGGGCAACAGCAAGATTCTGTCTCCCTGTCTCAAAAAAAAAAAAAAAAAGAGAGAAGAAAAAAGAAAAAAAAAAGAATGTTTTGGCTTTATAGGTTCTTTTGCATTTTCATGTGAATTTTTAAAATCAGCTCAACTCATCTAAGCCAGGTGTGGTATCCCACACCTGTAATCCCAGTGACTTGGGGCTAAAGCAGGAAGATTGCAAGTTTGAGGCCAACCTGGCCAATTTAGTGAGATCCTGTCTCAAAGAAAATAAAAAGGGCTGAGGGTATAGCTCAGTGGTAGAGTGCTAATCAAGCATGCAGGAGGCCCTGGTTCAATCCCCAGACTGCAGGGGATATACTGTTCAGGCAGTTCTGGGAACCATGACCCAGATTTTGAATATGAATCTTGGAGGTCAGTAGGTCCGAGCTGACTCAGAGACATTTCTTCCACAGAGGACTAGAGTGTGGACTAGCTGGGTGTGTATGGCTTTGTCTGTGTTTCTCTTTTGGGTTTGGGCATATATCTTGTCTCACTGAATGAAAACTCTGTGGGCACAGACTGTCCTTTTTACCATTTTGCTCCTTGTATGTCGCATGCAGCTGATGCTCAATAAACACTCATTGAAAGACTATGTCCAAAGATTCTCTCTAGGCTCCCTAAAAGCTTTCTCTGGATGAGTCCACTTCAATCTTTTTTTTTTTAACCAGGGATTGAACCCAGGGGTACTTAACCACTGAGCCACATCCCCACACCTTTTTATATTTTATCCTGAGACAGGGTCTCTGTGAATTGCTTAGGGCCTTGCTAAATTGCTGAGGCTGGCTTTAACTCACAATCCTCCTGCCTTAGCCTCCCAAGTCTCTGGGATTACAGTATGTGCCACTGTGCCTGGCATTCATTTCAATCTTTTTTTAAATTTTGTTTTGGTGGTGCTAGAGATTGAACCCAGGGCCTTGTGTATGCAAGACAAGCACTCTACTAACTGAGCTACATCCCCAACCTTCCATTTCAATCTTAATAGTAAGAAATAGAGAAACAAGATGGTGGAATACAAGTACCCTCCATGTGACTCTTCGAGTGAGAGGAGTCAAGATAACAAAGGAGAAACCATATACTGAGGAAAGAAAGAAAAGAAGAACTTTGAGAACCAATACACAGTGACAAGAAACCTAAACAACAAGGTTTAGGAGAACTGGAAAGATTTCAACCCTGGTTCCCTGGCTAGGGATAGGGAGCCCAACACTGCAAACACAAGGTAAGTTACAGAATGCAAACAACCTGGATAATAACAGCAGACCAGCAGTCCTAACTGTAGGAGAGATCCATGGTTCTTACAAACTTTAAACCCATTTTGGACATTTGGTCTGAAAGTGATTCTTCCAGCACAGCAAGCTAGCTTACATTACATTATCACATCAGTCAGCAAACTCTGAGTGCTATAACCAGGAGCCATCTGGAGAAGGGTCCTGTAGGGACTAAACTGCTCTAGGGATCAGCAAACTTGGAACAATTCTGAGTTCCTTGGGATACCCTATGCTTTGACTGGGTGGGAGACAGCCATGCAAGACAGTCATGGTTTGGGAGAATGACACAAACCTGAGAGGTTTAAACAGCTGGAAACACAGCCTATGGTGGGGAAGGGAATAGAGGGCACAGCAGTTTGTAATTCTACCCTCTGTGATAAGGAGCAAGACCAGTTACATGTGGTTTCACAAGGCGGCCAGGTCCAAGAACTCAGAGACCAATGCTACAGAGAACTATAAGACGAAAGCTAGCAAATTGCTCGATTCCTGTGCCTCTTCTGAGTATAAAACTTGGGAGTCTGATTGCTCCCCCAACTCCTGGAGGCATTTCCAGGGATGTGCCATGGTTTGATTATTTGCCATCTCCCCAGATGCACAGACTAGAAACCTCTGGACTGACATGATCCACATACCACTGAATCTTAGTCAGCAAGAAGGTAACCCCAATGGTAACCATACCCATGGGTAAAACATAAAGTTTCCAGAGAGAATACAGCACTGGTGCAGTCAACATTTCCTCAACCTGCCCAGTGAGAAACTTAGGTCACAGCCTGCATACTGCCCGATCTTGTTTTGATATGAGCTGAGAGGAACACGACAGGCTTGAGCTGCGGCACCCTGGCCCTCATACCTAGCAGTCCAACATCAGAAGACCTGGAAAGAAGCATCAACAATCCAACCACCTCAGCTGGGAGGAATTTTTGACTCTTTTCCTCTGTCCCCATCTATCCTTTTATATTATTGTTTAAATTTTTCTATTTTTTCTTATTTTAATGCTTTAATTGAGTTTTTTCCTCAAAACCTTCTTCTTTCTTCTCTTCTTCTCTGTTTCCTCCTCTTTATTATTCTTTTTCTTCTTTTTTTTTTTTTTTTTGGGGGGGGGAGGGTGTAGTGGAGATCAAATCCAGGACCTCACACATGCTAGGCAAGTGCTCTACTACTGAGCTATGTCCTCAATCCTTAAGTCATTCCATTTTAATTAATTAATTAAATTATTTTTGGTACCAAGGGTTGAACCCAGGGATGCTTAACCACTAGCCACATCCCCAGTTCTTTTTATTTTATTTAGAGACAAGGTCTCACTGAGTTGCTTAGGGGCTTGCGAAGTTGCTGAGGCTAGCTTTGAACACGCAATCCTTCCTCAGCCTCCCAAGCCACTGGGATTATAGGCATGTGCCAGAGCACCCAGCTTTATTTTGTGTTGATATTGGTTTTTGGTAAGTTACTCAGGCTGGCCTCAAACTTGTGAGTCTCCTGCCTCAGCCTATTAAGTAGCTGGGAATACAGGTGTGTACCACCATGCCTGGTCCTTTTTTATTGTTATCTTGACTTGTTTTTTACTGTATTTCTATATTTAGATTATTTTTATGTTGTTGTTACTGTTTTTGTTTTCTTCTTTCTGAATAGTCCTAGGTATTGAGTCTGGAACCTTGAACACACTTGTTAGTGGGCTACATCCTAGCCCAGCTGGGAGAAATTGTACCTTATTCAAGCCATGACCATGTCCCAATCAAACCTTGGCAGATACTTCAACTTAAAGAAGACCTGGTACCAAGTAGGAATGGCTAAGAAGGTCCAGAAGCCCATTCACCTTCAGCAAAGAGAAGTAAAACAACTGTTGTGGATATCACATCCACGAGGGACCTCAACTTAGGTTGTTCCCATACCCTGTTGACAAGACTCTAAGAATAACCATGGAGGGTACACCCCATATATTCATCTTTCTACAACACACCTGCCTGAACTACTAGAAGGACCCTACTCTTGAGAGGCCTACAAAGAAAATGAATCCCTCACGCTCCAATATAGTACACACTGTGTCAAAACCAACTAATCACAGCCAAAGAAGCCATAAGGAAACTACATTATAAAGTCCATTTGCAATCAAACTCAACACTACTCAACAAACTGAAATGCCAGGACTCACTGTCAAGAGAAGGCTGCTCACTAAGAAGAGGCTCACATAAAATTAGAATAGATTTCTATCCCAACAGATGCTTAAATCTGTACACAAAAACACACAATATGAAAAAAACAGAACAACTCTAAAAATTCATTACTCTCTAATAACTGTCCGAAGGTAATGAAGGGGTGAGATGCTGGACAAAAAATTCAAAAGAATGATTTTAAAATGATTCATGAGCTGGGTGCAGTGGCACACACCTCTAATCCCAGCAGCTTGGGAGGCTGAGGCAAGAGGATCACAAGTTCAAAGCCAGCCTCAGCAACAGCGAGGTGCTAAGAAACTCAGTGAGACCCTGTCTCTAAATAAAATATAAAATAGAGTTGGGGATGTGTCTCAGTGGTTGAGTGCCCCTGAGTTCAATGTCCCGTATCCCCACCCCTCCTGCTAAAAAAAAAAAAAAAAAAAAAGATTAATGAATTGAAAGATGATACAAATAGGGGCTGGGGTTGTAGCTCAGTGGTAGAGTGCTCACCTAGCATGCATGAGGCACTGGGTTCGATCCTCAGCACCACATTAAAAAAACGTAAAATATATTGTGTCCACCTAAAATTTAAAAATATATTTTTTTAAAAAAGAAAAAAGATGATACAAATAAACAGCTGAACGAATGAATTAAGGAAAACAGTATAGGGCACAAAAGAACAATTCAATAAAGAAAAAGAATTTCTGAAAAAGAACTAAAGAGAAATCTTGGAAACAGATCTCAATAAGTCAAATAAAAAGCTTAGTTGAAAATCTCATGAATAAACTAGATCAAGTAGAAGAAAGAATATCAGAACTTAAAGAAAATAAGCATATTCAGACAGTAATGAACAAAATAAGAATGAACAGAACATGCAAGATTTATTGGACATCATTAAAAATCAAGCACAAATATAAATAGAATAAGCAAGGGAGAAGTATAGGTTAAAGGCCTCAAAAAAAATTCCTAAATCTTTTGAAAGATATAGACATGGAGGGATAGAAGGCATTTAGAACCCCAAACAGACATGACCAGAAAAGAACTGCTTTATGACATATTGTAGTTGAAGTGCCAAAAGCATAGAACAAAGAAATAATAATAAAAGCTGTGAGAGAAGCACCAAGTCATATATAAAGGCAGACTTATCAGAATAACAGCAGATTTCTCATCAGAACTGTAACAGGTAATAGGGCACAGAATCATGTATTTTAATCCCTGATAGTAAATAAATGTGAATGTAGATTACTACATCCAGCAAAGTTTCCTTCAGAATTAAAGAAGAAATAAAGACTTTCCAAGGTAAGTATACACTACAGGAATTCATGACTACTAAACCAGCATTACAAAAGACACTTAAAGAGGAAGAAAGATAAACAATCACAAACTAATGGGATGGGGTTAGGGATGTGGCTCAAGCAGTAGCGCGCTCCCCTGGCATGGGTGCGGCCCAGGTTCGATCCTCAGCACCACATACAAACAAAGATGTTGTGTCTGCCGAAAACTAAAATGTAAATAAAATATAAAAAAGAAAAAACAAACTAATGGGAAAGGATAAATGTCATTAGAAGAGTAGAGCAGTAAATGAGAATTAGCAAAGAATCAAAACATTAGAATAACAACAGGAATTATACACTCTTCAATAATAACCCTTAATATAAATGGTCTTATTTCTCCAATTAAAAGATGCAGACTAGCTGATCAAATTATTAAAAAAAAATAAAAATAAAAAGGCCCACTGTATGCTGTAATGCCTCTCTGTAATCCCAGCTACTTGGGAAGTTAAGGCAGAGTGATCACTAGATCTCAATTCCAACCCAGGAATCTTACAGAGGCTCTCTCAAAATAAAACATAAAAAGGGCAGGTGATATAGCTCAGTGGTAGACCTCTGTATTTAGTCCCTAGTACTGACAACAAAACAAAATACATGAGCATCTTAACAGATGCAGAAAAAATCTTTGATGAAATCCAACATCCCTTCATGTTAGCCCTGAGTAAATCAAATAAAGGATCATACTTCAACATAATAAAGGCTGTGTGTGACAATCCCCCAGCCAACACCATACTTGAATGGGGAAAAACTGAAGCATTTCCTTTATAATAAAAAATAGCACAAGGGCACATGCTTGTAATTTCAGCAACCCAGGAAGCTAAGGCAGGAGAATTCCAAGTTCCAGGCCAGTCTCAGCAATTTAGGTCCTAAGCAACTTTGCGAGACCCTGTCTCAAAATGAATAATATAAATAAAAAAGGGATGGGGATGTAGCTCAGTGGTAAAGAACCCTGGGCTCAACTCTTAGTACCAAAAAAAAAAAAAAAAAAAGAGTAAGTGTGTCCACTTTCACCACTCTTATTCAATATATATAGTATTTGATATTTCAGCCAAAGCAATCAGACGAGAAAGGAAGAAAGAAAAAAAGCGGATACAAACAGAAAAGGAGGAAGTCAAATCATCCCTGTTTTCAGATGATTGGATTCTATACTTAGAAAATCCTAAGGACTCCACCAATGACTCTTAGAACTGATACAAAAATTCAGCAAAGAATCAGTATACAAAACCAATGTACAAAACTCAGGCCAGATACAGTGGCACATCCCTGTTATCTCAGCAACCCAGGAGATCAAGACAGGAGGATCACAAGTTTGAGGCTGGCCTCAATAACTTAATGAGGCTCTTGGCAATTTAGTGAGACCCTGTCTCAAATAAAATTAAAAAGGGCTGGGGACATGGCTTAGTGATAAAGTTTCCCTGAGTTAAATCCCAGTACCAAAAACAAAAAGCAAAAATTAGTAATTTTTCTATACACCAATAACGAATTACCAGAGGGGAGAAAAATCAGGTAAACAATCCCATTCACAATATCACCTCCACACCAAAATATAAAAATACCTAGGAATAAGCCTAACCAAAGAAGTGAAAAACTTCTACAATGGAAGTTATAAAATGAAAAAGAAGTTGAAGAAAGACACCACAAGATGGAAAGACTTCCCATGATCACAGATTGGGAGAATTAATATTGTTAAAATGGCCATACTGGGCTGGGGTTGTGGCTTAGCAATAGAGCACCCGCCTACCATGTGTGAGGCCCTGGATTCAATCCTCAGCACCACATAAAAATAAATAAATAAAATAAAGGTATTGGGTCCAACTACAACTAAAAAATATTAAAAAAAAAAAAAAAAAAAGGCCAACTGTAGAGTTGGTAAGTATGCCCAGGCCAAACAATGAGGTTGAATACATGGGTAGTCGCTCCAAAAGAGTGCTGAGTTTCTACTGCACATGCTTAAAATATCTTAAGGGTCTAGATGTACATTCTCTACTCATTGAACTTATCCAGGTGAATGAAGCAACAAGATGGGCTGCTACACTTACAAAGTGCATGGTCAGATTAACTCATACACGAGCTCCCCTGCCACATCAAGATGATCTTTACTGAAAAGGAATAAATTGTTCCTAAGCCAGAAAAGGCTGCACAAAAGAAAAAGATCCCAGAAGAAACAAAAACTCATGGCACTGGAATAAATTCAGCATAAAACAAATGCAAATAAAACTTAAAAAAAAAAAAGTCACACTATTGAAAAGTAACTACAGATTCAGTCAATCCCCATCAAAACATCAATGACAGGGCTGGAGTTATGGCTCAGTGGGAGAGTGCTTGATACATGAGGGACTAGAGTTCAATCCCCAGTACCACATTAAAAAAAACAAAATGTTAAACAAAATAAAAGGTATATCCATCTACAACTAAAAATATTTTTTTTAAATTACATTCTTCATAGGAAAATTAAAAAAAAAAAATCCATCCTAAAATTATAAGGAAGGACAAACCCTGAAGAGCCAAAGAAATCCTGAGCACAAAACAAGATAATGCTGGAGGTATCATAATATCTTATTTCAAAATATACTTCAGAGTCACAATAACCAAAACAGCATGGTCTTGGCATAAAAACAGATATGTACCACCAGGTGCAGTGACACACACCTATAATACCAGTGACTCTGGAGGCTGAGGCCCTAAGCAAGTTAGTAAGATCCTGTTTCAAAATAAAAACTAAAAAATGTCAGGGATGTGGTTTTGTGGTAAAGCACCCCTGGGTTCAAGCTCTACTATAAAACAAAACAAACAGAAAACAGACATGTAAACCAAAATACAAAAAAGGAGCCAGAAATAAACCCACACATCCACAACCATCTGCTTCTCAAAAAAATTACCAAAAGCATGTTAGAAAAAAGATAGCCTCTTCAACAAATGGTGCTGGGAAAACTCTGGAAACCCACATGTAGAAGACTGAAACTAGATCTCTATCTCTCACCCTAAAATGAACTTAAGGCTGGGCACAGTGGCACACAATCTGTAATCCCAGCAGCTCCGGAGGCTGAGGCAGGAGAATGGAGAGTTCAAAGCAGACCTCAGCAACTTAGTGAGACCCAAAGCAACTCAGCTACTCAGCAAGACTCTGTCTCTAAAATTAAAAAAAAAAAAAAAAGGAAAGAAAAAGAAAAGGGATCAAAGGCCTTAATGTAACATCTGAATCTGATATTGGAAAAAAACATATGGGAAACATTTCAAGATACTGGCATAGGAAGTACTGAATAAGACTCTAACAGGCCAGGAAATAAAAGCAATAATTGACAAACCAAATTACATTGAGTTAAAAAGCTTCAGCAAACGAGAGGAAACAGTCAATAGAGTAAAGAGACAACCTACAGAATAGGAGAACATCTTTGCTAGTATTCATGTAATTGAGGATTAATATCCAGAATATATTAAAAAAACCTCAAAAATTTAATAATGAAAGAATAATCCAATCAATAAATGGACAAATGACCCGAATAGACAGTTCTCAAAAGAAGATACACAAATGGCTAATAAATGTGAAAAAATGCTCAATATCTTTAGCCATCAGAGAAATGTAAATGGAAGTATGCCGAAGCCAGCATAATGATGCATGCCTGTAATCACAGCAACTCAGGAGGCTGAGGCAGGAGGATCCTGAATTTGAAGCTAGCATGGGAAACTGAGCAAGACCCTATCTGAAAATAAAAAATAAAAAGGGCTGAGGATATGACTCAATGGTAGAGCTCCCTGGGTTCAATCCCCAGTACCCACAAACAAAACAAAACAAACTAATGCTGGTGAGGATGTGAAGAAAAGGAACCTTTATACATTTCTGTTGGTGGGAATGTAAATTAGTACAGCCACTATTGAAAACACTATGGAAGTTCCTCAGAAAACTATTCAGCTATACCACTCTTGGGGATATACCCGAAGGAAATGAAGTCAGCATACAAAAGAGATCCCCCTGCAGGACTGGGGTTGTGGCTCAGTGGTAGAGCACTTGCCTAGCATGTGTGAGGCACTGGGTTCGAGTCTCAGAACCACATATAAATAAATGAATATTTATTGGGGCTGGGGATGTGGCTCAAGTGCTAGTGCGCTTGCCTGGCATGTGCGGGGCGCTGGGTTCGATCCTCAGCACCACATTAAAAAAAATAAATAAATAAAGATGTTGTGTCCACCGAAAACTAAAAAATAAATATTAAAAAATTCTCTCTCTTGGGCTGGGGATGTGGCTCAAGTGGTAACGTGCTCACCTGGCATGCGCGGGGCACTGGGTTTGATCCTCAGCACCACATAAGATAAAAAATAAAGATGTTGTGTCCACCAAAAACTGAAAAATAAATATTAAAAAAATTCTCTCTTAAAAAAAATTTTTTTCTCTCTAAAAACATAAATAAACAAAAAAATAAAAAAATAAAGGCCCATCAACATCTTTAAAAATTCTGAAAAAAAAAAGAGAGATCCCTGCATATCCATTTATTATAGCCAAGACATGGAATCAACCTATGTGCCAATCAATAGATGAATGGATAAAATAATATGTATATATACACAATGGAGTATTTAAAATAAAGTCTCATAGAAAAGAATTAAATCCTGTCATTTGTAGCAAAATGGATAGAAATGGAGACCATCATGTTAAGTGAAATAAGCAAGACAGAAAAGGACAAGTATTATTACATGTCTTCTCTCATATATGAAGACTAAAAAGAAAAAATAAATAATCTGTAAATAGAAGAGGGATTATTAAGGAAGAGAAGGGGGAAGAGGGAGAGAGAAGATGAGAATAGTAGGGAAGGTAGATACAATAAAAGCATGATATATGCATGTATGGAAATGACACACTGAAACTCATTGATTTGTAGAATTAAAATGTGTTAATAGTTATAATAAAAACAGGAAAAAATATGAGTTTATTTTTTTGTGGAACTAGGGATTACACTCTACCACTAAGCTACAGCCCCAATCCTTTTTATTTGCATTTACTTATTTATTTTAATAGATTTAAGAGCATTATATTTCTAATGAACAATTAAATCAGGAAAATAGAGATAAATATTGTATTGATATTTTGGAATCCCAGTATTAAGACCACAAATAAGTCTTAGCCCACATCTACTTCCAATGACTCAGATGTTTCTTTCTAATGAATTGATCATTACATTTCCAAATTTCTGAAATGGCCAACAGACAACAGAAAGACATTTATTTAGGCTCTTGCTTGGAACAGTTTCAACAAACTGCTAGCCTTGATTTAGAGACAAATTATTTTTAATTTTGAGACAGGGTCTCACTGAATTTCCCAAGCTGGCCGTGAACTTGCAATCCTCCTGCCTTAGTGTCAAGTTTAAAAAACAAGATGCAGAAAAGTATCATTTACTGCCATTAAAAAAAGAAAGAAGGGAAGACAACTATTTATTTGTATATGCTTAAAGAATTACTGGAAGAACACATCAAAGGTTAATAAAAGTGAATTATCTGTAGGGGCAAAAACTGAGTAGATAAGAGGCAGGGATGGGAGGACACTTTCCACTGTACACCTATATATATATTTTTGTCCTTTTTTTTTTTTTTTTGTGTGTGTGTGTGTAGTGCTGGAGGTGGAACCCAGGGCCTCATTCATACTAGGCAAGGGCTCTACTACTGGCTCTACCATGTCCCTATTTTTTTTTTTTAATTATGTGAGTATATTAATACCTAGAAAATTTAATAAAGTAAAAATAAGTAAATTTTGCAAATAAATTAATTTCTTTAGTATATGATGATGATGATGGTGATAAGAGCTACCAGTAAGGAATACTTAATATACAGCTGGGCTGAGTACTTTACATGCATTATCTCATTTAATCCTTATATTGATCTTATGGAGCAGATAGAACTATCACTCTTAATTAAAGATGAACAAAAAAACAGACTCTGAGGGTTAATTAGCTAAGAAATTCCAAAACTGGATTCAATTTGAAGTTTTTGTGCCTAACCACTGTCATATATATAAAGTTGTATAACAGATTTTTTTTTCATATGTGCAACAGTTTTGAAATGGATATATGTATTGACTGATATAACAGACAAAGGTAATTACCTGCTGCCCTTCTGTACCCTCGGCGGTGACCATAGCAACAGAGTGTGTTCCTGCTGAAGAGATGACTGCGTCATGAGCAGGGACTGTGATGGGTGTGCCATCCTGCGTTACCATTGTGATGGTGTTGCCAATGGCCTGCATGTCAGCTTGAGATATGTTGACCTGTAATACAGTGCCTTTTACAAATCAATGCTTCATGTTATATTTGGCAATCTTGGTTATAGGGCCTGACCCTTATATAGGTTTACTCTGTGGGAGCAAATAAACCTTTCACAATTGAATAAATTATTCTAGTCATCAGACAAATCAGTCTTCTTCTCTTTTCTTCCTTTTTTTTTTTTTTTTTTGGCACTAGAGGCACAGAGGCACTTTACCACCGAGTTACATCCCCAGCCCATTTTATTTTTTATTTTGGGACAGGGTCTCGCTAAGTTGCTAGGACCTCACTAAGTTATTGGGGCTGGTCTCAAACTTGCAATCCTCCTGTTTTAGCTTCCTGAGTCACTGGGATTACAGGCATGCACTACTGTGCCCGGCAGTCTGTCTTTTTTTTTTTTTTTTTTTTTTTTTTTTGTGGTACTGGGGATTGAACCTAGGGCCTTGTACATGCAAGACAAGCACTCTACCAACTGAGCTATATCCCCACCTCCAGCAATATTTCTTAAATGATCTCTTCCTCTTCTCTCCATCCCTGTTGCTAGCCGAGACCCTTATTTTTCTCTCATCTGAATTTCTGTAGTAATCCAATTCCTTTCCAAGTGTCCAGCATAACTGTTCCCTAACCATCCTCCACCTTAACACCTTTCTAAAACAAAGCAAATCAAGTCTTATTATTCTACTTGCTAAAATTCCCAGTTACTTCCTATCCTTCAATGTTCAGACTTCCTCTGTGGCATCCTTAACCTTTCATGATCTAGCCTTTACCAACTACTACTTCCTAATTTGCATCTGACTCTCTAGCCACAACTGATTCCCAGTCCTAGACAAAGTCACATTCATGGCTTTTCCCTTCCCTTCATTCTTAGCATGGCAAGCTCATGAAAATTCTTCAGGAACCAACTGAATGACCAAATCCATAAGAATCTCCAAGATTCATTCCTTTCTACTTCAGGCTTCCACACCACTTTATATGCCCATCAATTATATATCCCTCATTATGAGAAACTGTTCATTTTAGAAATGGCTTTCTCCTAGACTGTGATATTCCCTTTCCTGTACACCCAGTATTGACTACCAAAATGTCTGGCATGGGATAGATCGTCAATAAATATCTGTTGAAGGAATGGAATGGAAATCTAATTACTGAAGGAAATGGGAAGGTTGAATCTAGAAGAAATACAACACTCATTAGGATGGGGAAGACAGTTGTTTTGGAGTATAAGAAGAGGCATTAGGGCTGGGGATGTGGCTCAAGTGGTAGCGCGCTAGCCTGGCATGCGTGTGGCCCGGGTTTGATCCTCAGCACCACATACAAACAAAGATGTTGTGTCCGCTGAAAACTAAAATATTAAAATTCTCTCTCTCTCTCGCTCTCTCTCTCTCTCTCTCTCTCTTTAAAAAAAAGAAGAAGAAGAAGAAGAAGAAGAAGAAGAGGGATTAGATTTATTCCGTATGGTTAAAAAAGAACCATGAATTAACAATACAGAGGTGGGTTCCCAATAAATAGTAGAGTTCTCCTGGCTGCCTCTTAACAGAGAAGTTAATCAATCACTATGTATTAGCTCAGTAAAGGATATTTCAAAGTTGCTATAGAAGGGATTTCTCCTACATAGGAAGGAAGGGTAGATTAAATGACTTCCAGAGGTCCTCTGTTTGTGATGATCTGATTCAAGACAAAGTTTTAGAGCTAATGAATTAAAATTAGGTTAAGTAAATATGTTTAATCTTTCTTGCATGCCAGTCAGTGGGCAGAGTACTGTGCAGAATTCACAATGTCAAAGTGGGGGCTGGGGGTGCAAGCATGTGATGGTATGAATGCTTTGTATTATTTGATCCTGAATGGGTTCTGCCACCTAACTAATATAGGCATGTTAATAGTTATCAATTTGTTAAAAAGGCAGATTAATTATGGAAGGTAAAAGTCCAAGAGAGATGAGTAAGGAGAGATTCATCCTTGGAAGAGACAGATAAAAAAGCACATTATACCCCAACATTCCTAATTTTAAAGGTACTAAGAAAACCTTAGATAGAACTCAAAAATAAAATCAAAGTTAAGTTATTTTAAGCTAGCAGAATCTAGAAAACAACAAGTTTAGCTTTTAGAGAACATCCATTAAACTGTGCATTTTCTGGAGGAAATCAAGATATTTGCTTTATTAACTCTGTAGAGTTAGTTGAGTAAACTTCCATGATTCCTGGAAAGGAAGAGTGCCACAGTTTGGAAACTTCATAGGTTTGCCTGTCACTTATTTCCCAGGATCTTTTATTGAGTCCATCATATCCTGATCACCTCAGCCAAAGCTCTGCTGTTTTCTCAAACCTCATTTCTTGGACCTAATTAGCCACCAAATCCATCCCTTCTCAGATCTACGTTTCACATGGATACTTTTGAAGCCCTCAGTTTCCCTGTGGTTCTGACCTTCATTACCCCTCACCTTTGAGTGATACCAGTAACACTCTATATGAATTTTACAGAGACGTAAACATTCTCTCCCTACTAAACTCACTTCAAGTAATCTCTTTTAGTAGCCTATGGAGAACTTTTAGGAGATATGTTACTGCCTGCCTACAGGCTGAAATCCAACCTTTATTCCTTGATATTCCAAGGAAATTCTTCAATGAGGACCTGGACTGTGTTTTCAAAAACGGTTGAAGAGAAATATGATTTAACTTGACTAGCTTTTGGTAGACACTTACATGCTGGGTCCCATCCTGGGATATGAGTGTAACTTGTTGACTCAACCCAGACTGGGTTACTGTGGCTACTTGTGTGGATACAACATCATCTCCTTCTACACCTGTAACATATGTGATCTGGGACCCCTTAAGAACATCTTCGCCTTGACCTGTTTTAAAAAAAAAAAAAAGAACAACCTCTATGACCAATTAATCAATCTGTTTAGAAAACTGAGAATATTTTACTATTAAAGAGAATATTATATAAAATTTATATATAGTATATTCTAAATCATGAAAAAAGCTTCTAGTACCTCCTTCTACTTCCTTCACTTCTACGTTTTGAAAGCTAAACCAAATCATATCAGACCACATCAAACCTTTCCCATCAAATTTAAGTGTTTTAATTTTGGGGGACCACTTTTTAAATCTTTTTTTTAAAATATTTATTTTATAGTTGGACACAATACCTTTATTTCACTCATTTATTTTTTTATGTGGTGCTGAGGATCAAACCCAGGGTCCCTCGCGTGTGAGACGAGCGCTCTACTGCTGAGCCACAACCCCAGCCCCACACTTTTTAAATCTTAGCTGGAATAATTATGTGATATTGTGCATATGTGTTGGGAAAGGGAAGGGAGAAACTCTATAGAAAGACTAGAAAAAAATCCTTCAATACAACAAGGATGCACTAAGTTCTTGGAGTCACTTAAGAAGCCATATAAGTTGGGGGTGGGGGCAGGGTGAGAATAAGAAAGACAGTAGAATGAATTGGATATAACTATGTTCATACATGAATACATGACCAGGGGCTGGGGCTGTAACTCAGTGGTAGAGCACTTGCCTAGCACATGTGAGGCACTGGTTCAATCCTCAGTACCACATAAAAATAAATCAATAAAATAAGGCATTGTGTCCATCTACAATAAAATATATACATATGTATGTGTGTGTGTGTGTGTGTGTATATATATACATGACCAGTGTAACTCCGCATCAGGTACAACCACAAGAATGGGAAGTTATATTCCATGTCTGTATGTCAAAATACATTCTACTGTCATGTATAACTAAAAAGCACAAAACAAAATAAACCATAAAAGTAATAAAAGAATCTTCATAAACATAAACCACAAAACTACTAAACTTTGCAAACTCTGTCTACTAATTTAGCCTTTAACACAAGTGACTGATTACAGGTTATCAATAAACAATGACATCATTGTGTAAAGACAATGTAATGGCACATTATCTGGGGTGAAGTTAATCATTTAAGAAGTTAAACAAAAGCAACCTCCTTACTTCTTTATTTTGCAAACCACTAGCAAGTAAACAGCAATTTTAAGTCATTACTGCTATACTTGTCAACTAGGGAGATTACTGATCTCTATTCTTCCAACATTTTCCACTTCACATGAAGTAAGAGAAAGAGAGCAAAAAATTTTCCCCTACAAAGAAGTAATCTATAAGTCTTCTGAAAGTCAGTAGTTGATGCATGCACATGACTACAGTCATCAAGGTGCCATTTCCATGACAGTAATGACTTCACTCTTTTTTCTTCTGTTCCACAGATACTTATATATACTATTATTCCAACTGGTTACAAAACCCAGGGAACCATGTGAAAGGAAAACAAATCTATACCTATTCTTAGAAAAGCATTCTCCCCTTCCTTGTGTCGTTCTCCTCTCCTTTCTTTTCCTTTCTCCTTTCTCCTTCCTCCTTCTCCCTTTCCTTCCCTTCTTTCTTTTTGTACTGAAGATTGAGCCCAGGGGTGCTTTACCACTGAGCAACATCCCCACCCTTTTTATTTTTTTATTTTTAAGACAGGGTCTCCTAAATTGCTTAGGGCCTCACTTAGTTGCTGAGGCTAGCCTTAAACTTGCAGTCCTTCTGCCTCAGCCTCCAGAGCTACTGAGATTAGCCATTGTGCCCCACCAGATTTTAGGGTTTGTTTTTTTTTTGTTTTTGTTTTTTTAACCTAAGTTATCACAAGTTCAAGGCCAGCCTCTGCAATTTAGGGAGGTCCTGTCTCAAAATTTTAAAAAGGGCAGGAGATGTAGCTCAGTGATAGTGTGTACCTCCTAGATTTAATTCTCAGTACTGGGGGAAAAAAAAAACAGAAATTTTTAATAATATGAAATATCAACATATAAGAAAGGATCAAGGTGGCTGGGGTGTGGCTCAGTGGTAAAGCACTTGCCTCCCTCGTGTGAGGCACTGGTTTCAATCCTCAGCACCACATAAAAGTCAATAAACAAAGACACTGTGTCCATGTACAACTAAAAAATATTTTAAAAAAAGAAAGAAAAAAAGATAATCAAAAGACAGAGCATGGTGATACATGCATATAAGCCCAGGGATTCAGGAATCTGAGACAGAATTTCAAGTTTGGGGACAGATTTGGCAATTTGTCTTGACCCTATCTCAAAAAAAGAAAAAGGAATGGGGTATAGTCAGTGGAAGACCACCCCTAGGTTTAATCCCAAAAAAAAAGAGAGAAAAGAAAAGAAAAAGATAAAGGGCTTAAAAAGTGTAAGAGTCTTATAACTACATTTTTTTTGTGTGTGTACTGGGGATTGAACTCAAGGGCACTTAACTACTGGGCAACATCCCCTGCCCTTTTTTGTATTTTACTTAGAAACAGGGTCTCCCTGAGTTGCTAAGTACCTTTCTAAGTACCTTGCTAAGCAGGCTTTGAACTTGCAATCTTCCTGCCTCTACCTCCCGAGCCACTGGGATTACAGGCGAGTGCCACCGTGCATATAATTCTATAAAATATTTTTTCAAAGGTTTTTCCTCATTGAAATGAGTTGTTTTGTTTCTTACTATATACCTAACAGCACCTGAATCAATGAAGTATTATTTGGAGTACTTCTCTAATCTTATGACTAGGCTGCCCCTACCTCATTCTCTACCCTCACTTCACACCACCTTCCCAGGCAGAACCACCATCCTGATCAGGCTTCTTTCAGTATCTCTAATTTACTTTGCTCTCTCTAACCTCCTGCTTTTTGTAGTATCATACCTTCTACTTGAAAGTTCTCATCTTTGCTGTTTCCCTTCCCCCAACCTGTTTCTTCACCTAGTTAGCCTACTTGAAGATTCACCCTCTAGATTTTCTCCAAACACCATTTCCTCAGAGAAACCTACACCTTCCTAGATAAGAGACCAAGTTCCTCTCTTAACACAACCCAGAGCTCTAGTACCTTTCTTCAATAGTACTTTTCACAGTTATAAATTGTAAATTTGTGTGATTACAGAAAAGAAACTTTCTAATTTGAGAAAATGTTATGAATCATAAATTATTCATAGTTGTTTGATTCTCAAACTCAGAAACAGCTATAATGGATAAAAACCTTACCTGGGGGAGGCTCAAAGAAGGCTTCTTGCTCCTCCTCAATGGGCTCAGTGTCATTGTGGGCTGTCCGTTTGTGCATAGCCAGCGTGGAGATCTGCTTGTATGTCTTACCACAGTGATTACAGTTGTATGGTTTGGAGTGAGTGTGAACGACGTGGTGTTTGTACAAACTAGAATATTCTGTAAACCTTTTGTCACACCCAGGAACTGTACAAACATATGGCTTTTCCCCTAAGAAAAACCAGCACACAAAATGTCAGCTTTAAAAAAAAAAAAAAAGGTCAGCTTTTATATAGGTAGACATAATTATTCCATTATGGGGTAGAGGACCTCTAAAATTAAACAGTTGCCAAATCTGGGCTGTGGACATAGATCAGTAATGAAGCGCTTACCCAACACAGCAACATATACACATAAAGCTTGTCAAATCTCTTCATATCCTACCATGAGGGAAAAACCGTAACTATAATTTTAACTTGGCTCAAAAGGTAGTCTACATTCTGAATATTGTCCTTAAGCATCAATCCCAATGTTCCCTTAATTTCAAGAGATGAGAGAATTAAGGATGATGTTATTACCCAGTTTAACTTTGATGAAACTATAATTTATTGTTTCCTGTAACTGGATAGATATACTAATAATAAGAATAACAAATGCAAGTATTACTATAACTAATGCAGCTTACCCAAAAAGTTTTATAAAGATAATGAAAAAGGATTTTTTAAAAAAGTCTACGGACAAGTTAGACATGTCAATATTCAACTATATATCTAAATATATCTAAAAGAACATTTACAATTTAACTTCACTTGACCTCTTATATCCAATCAAAAGCTATTCTTTCCTCACCAATAGCAAGTAGGCAAGACAAATGGAAGAAAAAACTATTAATTCCTGTTCTATGAAATAATCTGAGAATACTATAGGTAGTATATAATATTTTTTGAACTTTTTATTATGGAAAATTTAAAACTTACACAAAAATATAGAGAAACAGTATAACAAAACTCCATGTACCAATCACTCAGCTTCAACTATTAATTCATAACCAATATTGTTTCATTTATTTATTACATATTTATCCCTTCTTCCTACCGAGGATTATTCTAAAACAGTTCCAGAAAACATTCTATATTATCCGAAATGTATGAGATTATGTATATGAAAGATGGATCCTGTTATTTTTAAACAACATAAACAAAATTAACAATAATTACTTAATATCACAGAATATCTAGGCAATGCTATTTTGTGGTGGTATGGGGACCTAAAACTGAAAGCAAATGGAACAAGTTATCCTAATTATAGTTTAAGTGAATACTTTTATCCACACTGGGACATGAGGAAAATAAATTATTTCAAGTAATTTTTTTTTGTAGTTGTAGATGAACAGAATGCCTTTATTTGTTATGTGGTGCCTCACACATGCTAGGCAAGCATTCTGCCACTGAGCCACACTCTCACCCCTCATGTAACTTTTTTTTTTTTTTTAGTATTTTTAGCTGTAGATGGACACAATATCTTTATTTTACTTATTTATTTTTATGTGGTGCTGAGGATTGAACCCAGTGCCTCACACATGTGAGGCAAGCACTCTACAACTGAGCCACAACCCCAGCCCCCCCGTCAAGAAACTTTTATATAGAGTATTTAACTAATATTTTATATATGACATTTTAACTAATGTCCTCAGTCTTGAGCTAGGGATGAGGCAGCAGTTGCAAACAAACCTTGAACTCTTCAATAGGCTTATGCATTGTGGTGGCATGACTGAAGTGATACTAAAATTATTTTAGAGGTAACTAAAGACTCAGCAAATGAATAAATATTCAGTGCTGTAGAAGCCAGGGTTCTCAGTGTGGAAGAGACGTACAAATATGGAATTGGGAGGAAGAGCCTTGTGGGATGAACTAGAATTGGAAGTATTAGTGTGAACTCTTCATTTCTGATATGGAATGTGTAAGTGTAGAGATGCATGTTCCAGCTAATTCTTATTTTATATCTTCCTTGGTGCATTTCTTCTCATGGCTCTAACCACAGTAAAACTACCCATAAAGAAATCCCTCACTAATATAATTTAAGTTTTAGACATAAAAGTAATTGGAGATGGCTTCCTGTCCTCTTCCTCCCAATATCCATTCTCAAAGCAGGCAGGATTAAGTTCTTATCTTGGTGGATGGTTGTAAGGAAAATGTAGTGAGGGAAAGGGAAGTGGGAGTAGATTTCCTAAGCAGGAAAGTGGCAGCAAATTTCAACTTGGAAAATCAGCCAATTTTCAACTGAGAACAGAAATCCCCACTAGGTGGCACCAAACCACAGCCAAAAACTGAATGGAGCAGAATACAATGGCACATGCTTTCAATCCCAGCAACTCCAGAAGCTGATGTTGGAGGATGGAAAATTCAAGGTCAACCTCAACAATTTAGTGAGATGCTATTCAAAATAAATAAATAAATAAATAAAAAGAACGAGGGACTGGGGATGTAGCTCAGTGGTAAAGCACCTCTGGGGTCAATTCCTAGTACACCCCCATCAAAAAAATTTTTTTTTTTTTTTTTTTTTTTTTTTTTGCTTGAGCTTTAGAGTTCCTTTTGGCTGGCTACATGGCTTCACATGGGTCATCTGATAATCAAACTTCATGATAGACTGCATTTTATGAAAAAATTGAAAAGACAACCCATAGAGGGGAAAATACTGCAAATCTGTCTGACAAAGGACTTGTATCCAGAATAATAAATAATTCTTACAACCCAATAGTGAAAAAACAACCCAGTTAAAAAAGGGCAAAGGATTTGAAAAGATATTTCTCCAAAGAAGATATATGAAAGGCCAATAAGCACATAAAAAGATACTTAACATCATTAGCCATCAGGAAAATGCAAATCAAAAGATATCACACTCACTAGGAAAGTTATAATAAAAAAAAATAACAATTATCTGCCTATGGTGTGGATCAAATGGAAGCATCATACATTGCAGGTGAGATTGTAAAATGGCACAGCTACTTCAGAAAACAGTTTGGCAGTTCCTCAAAAGTTAAAAAACAGGGCTGGGGTTGTAGCTCAGTGGTAAAGTGCTGCCTCTCCCATGTGAGGCCCTGGGTTTGATCCTCAGCACCACATAAAAATAAATAAATAAATAAAATGAAATAAAGATATTGTGTCCATCTACAACTAGAAAAAAATTTTTTTTAAAAAGTTAAAAGATGGGGCTGGGGATGTGGCTCAAGCGGTAGCGCGCTCGCCTGGCATGCGTGTGGCTCAGGTTCGATCCTCAGCACCACATACAAACAAAGATGCTATGCCTGCTGAAAACTAAAAAAAAAAAAAGAAGGGAAAAACTCATTGATGAGAAAAAAAAAAAGTTAAAAGACTTTTGAAAAGTGACCCAATAATTCCACTCCCCTTTTTTTTTTTTTTTGTATTGGGGATTAAATCCAAGGGGTGCTTTATCACCAAGCTACATTCCCAGTCCTTTTTTTTCGGGTACCAGGGATTGAACTCAGGGGCACTCAACCACTGAGCCACATCCCCAGCCCTATTTTGTATTTTATTTCGAGGCAGAGTCTCACTGAATTGCTTAGCACCTCGATGTTGCTGAGGCTGGCTTGGAACCCACCATCCTCCTGCCTCAGCTTCCCAAGCGCTGGGATTACAGGTGTGCGCTACTGCACCTGGCCCCAGCCTTTTTTAATGTTTTATTTTGAGACAGGACCTTGCTAAGTTGCTTAGGACTTTGTTAAATTCCTGAGGCTGGCCTTGAATTTGCAATCCTCCTGCTTCAGCCTCCTGAGTGGCTGGGGTTACAAGCATGCACTACCACGTCTGGAGAATCATTATGCTTTAAATGGATAAATGGGGCTGGGGATGTGGCTCAAGAGGTAACGCACTCACCTGCCATGCGCGGGGCGCTGGGTTCGATCCTCAGCATCACATACAAATAAAATAAAGATATTGTGTCCACCGAAAACTAAAAAATAAATATTAAAAAAAATTCTCTCTCTATCCCTCTCTCTCTTTAAAAATAAAAATAAATGGATAAATGTCTAGTATGTGAATTTTATCTTAATATAGCTGTTTATTAAAAAATGAGAAGCCAAGCATAGTGGTATACACCTATAATCCCAGTGACCTGAGAGGCTGAGGCAGTAGAATCACAAATTCAAGGACAGCCTGGGCAACCTGGTAAGACCCTTGTCTTATTAAAAAAAAAAAAAAGGGGGGAGGGGGGGCACAGCTGGGGATGTAGAGCACCAACCCTGGTTTCAATCCCCAGTATTGCCAAAAAAGCGGAAAATGTATCCATAGATCATTCCTCCTTTTCTACCCCACAAGCTCCACAAAGTTTAATTTAAGAAACACCTTACCATGACAGCATAATACAAAAGTCCCCTGATTACTCCTCCGACTTCACTGCGTACAAATCTTCTACATGTAATCTATGCTCTAATTATATGGAACCACCCAATATTATGTTTTTTTCATACCTTTGTGCCTATCTTCATTACACTTCCCCTGCAAAGAATAATCTTCTGTTTACCTTTTACATCAGGATTCAGTCTAAAAGTCAAATTCCCCAGTAAAGTCTTTCTGAAACATTTCTTCCGTTCCTGCAAGAAATGACTGTTCCTGCCTCTGCTCCCAAGCATCTTGTTCATATTACAGACATTCTTCAGCAAGTTTGTGACCACTAATCTCTCCCCAACTAGACTGTATTTGATAATGTCTTATCTGTCTCTAAATCTATGGTGTCTGGTAGAAAAACTCATGATAGATGTCAATAATTGTTGAAGAAACGAACATACAAAAGAATGATTAAGTTGAAAAATTTTAAAGGTGTTTAACTTCTTTCCTCCATGCCAACTGGTAGGAAGAAAAGAAGAGATTAGCAAGGTATTGTTTCTGGAAGGGGGAAGAATTAAACTAAGCCTTCAAAGATAAAGGACCAAGAGATCAGAGATCATTACCTGTGTGTATCCTCACATGATTTTTATAATTGGTTGCGCTGGCAAATGCCCTCCCACATCCTGGTTCTGTGCAATAATAAGGTCTTTCTCCTGTATGTGTCCTAATATGCACTTTTCTGATATTTGATGTTGTAAAGGACCGACCGCAGCCTTCGAAGGGACACTTAAAGGGCCTTTCTCCTGAAAATACAAAGGGGAATAAATTAAATGGTGCAAAAATATATAGAAAATTGAAATGTCTTATCTTCAATTTTGCCTAGGAGCAGGCTCAAGACTTGAGTCTTCTATTAAGTTTCCCTTTTAGGCTTTTTCTTTTCCCCCTGGAAAAAGTATTTTCCACTCCTAACAAATTTGCCTTAGAAAAACTGAATGGTATTCAAAACTCATCAGTGATTACATGTCTCCCCAAGATGGAATCATTCAGGTGTGCATATTAAAAATTGAGCTGAGAAAAGCACGGAAAGAAATGGCAGAAAAAAATATATAAGAAAAAAATAGGGTCAAGAATAAGGATTAAGTTAGAACAACCCCAGAATCACTTAAAAGTTTGTTTCCTGCTTTATTTATGCTACGATATCTGGCAGAAAAAATAATTTTAATCTTTTAAAATCTAGTGCTTAGCATGTTTGTCAAAATACTTGCTAAATACATTACTATTCTCATAGTCCAAACTTATGACTGAAAACTCTGCCAATTATATTCCTTCTTTCCTATTTGCTTTATACAACCTTGAAACTCAAAAGTCCTTTGAACAGTCAAGCAGGAGATAGCTTTTGCTTTCAATTTTTATGTGCCCTTTTCTATAATGAACTCAAGCAAACAACTTCTGGAGCAGGAAAAAAAAAGTATCTTTATAGACAGACACAAGTATTTCATATATATAAGAGAGAGAGAGAGAGAGAAAGAAAGTCTGTTATTTTTCTTTGGGTCAAATAAAATTATGGTTTCCCTGTTGGTACAGACCATTCCAAAAGATTTCTGCCCTCAAGTTTGAAATCATTAAAAAAGGAACAGAATCTTTCTCTTTTCTTCAAGTGAATTTTTCACCATATGTTCACCAAAAGGGAACAGAATTCATATTGGGCAAGTCCTATCTCCTCCAAGTCTAGAAGACCTCTAAAGTCTTCCCACCTGTGACATGCTATGAAAAGCATCAACTGTTCTAGGACAATTTTCGTTGTACTATATGTATTACTATTCTGTAGCACCTAATTTGTTTTTGACTGAAATCACCTAAGTTCCTAAGCCCCTTATTCAACCCAACATTGTACCATGTTAAAATGTTATGCCATTATAACATTTTAAATCATGAAAATGTCATGATAAAAGTGGTGTATGGGGGCTGGTAGTATTGCTCAATGGTAGAGCTTGTCTAGCATGCAAAAGGCCTTGGGTTTAACTTTTGGCACCACCAAAAATAAAGAAATAACAAAACATAAAGACCAGTGTAAGGGGCTGGGGATGTGGCTCAAGAGGTAGCACGCTCGCCTGGCATGCACGGGGCGCTGGGTTCGATCCTCAGCACCATATAAAAATAAAATAAAGATGTTGTGTCCACCGAAAATTGAAAAATAAATAAATATTTAAAAATTCTCTCTCTCTCTCTCTTAAAAAAAAAAAAAAAAGACCAAAACTGTATGTTTTGATGGATGAATTAAAGAATCACAATTCTGACAGGCACAGTGATGCTCGCCTATAATCTCATAATCTTGGGAGGCTGACACAGAAGGATCCCAAGTTCAAAGTCAGCCTCAGCAACTAAGTGAGGCCCTATCTCAAAAGTTAAAAAAAAAAAAAAAGGCCTAGGAATGTGGCTAAATGGTTAAATGTCCCTTGGTTCAATCCCTGGTACCAAAAAAAAAAAAAACAAAAATCAAATCATAATCCTGACGTTTTTGCTCAATGTCAATGGTTGTATATAGCTTTTATACAACAAATTGGCTTTATATTGCAAATCCAAACAAAATTTATAGCATCTTGGAAACACTTGCCTTTGATACAATGAATAAAAATAAGTGCAGGAATGAAAAGGAAGCAGATACTTACAACCATTCCTAAGCATTACAAAGTAAAGCAAATTTAGGATCATGTTTGTACTAAAGATTAACCTTAGTTGCTAGAAGAATCCTCCCTGGAAATTTGTTAAACTATATCAGAGTATTTGGAAGTACAAAAATTGCAACATTTGGGGACAAAGTTATGACACCATGTTTAAAACACCTATATTAAAAATCTCTAAATTATTTTATGCTTTATTACTTAGTCAATAGCTTAAAATAGCATCTTTTATCAACAGTTTCTGAATTTTGTTCAGCTCTGATCCAAAACAAATACTTAAGCCAGGCACACACCTAGAATCCCAGCTCCAGTGGCTAGGGATGCAGAGACAAGAGAAGCTTAAGTTCAAAGTCAGCCTCAGCAACTTAGTGAGGCCCTAAGCAACTTAGTGAGAGCTAAGGGGTGGGGATGTGATTGGTGGTTAAGAGCCCCTGGGTTCAATCCCGGATACCAAAACAAAAAAACTAAAAACAAATAATCACCCTTATAGTATCAATTCCACAAGCAGTCAAGCATAGGGTAGAGAGGGGAGTGAGGGGAGATAAGAATAAAGTACCACTTAGAAAAAGAAGGTAAGAGGGCTGAGGATGTGGCTCAAGCGGTAACACGCTCGCCTGGCATGCACGGGGTGCTGGGTTCGATCCTTAGCACCACATAAAAATAAAATAAAGATGTTGTGTCTACCGAAAACTAAAAAAAATAAATATTAAAAAATTCTCTCTCTCTTAAAAAAAAAAAAAGGAAACAAGCAGTTTAAAAAAGAAAAAGAAGATAAAGACATTTAAAGAAGAGATGATCACAAGTAACAAGTCTTTTTTTGGGGAGGGGGTGGGGAGAGGGGTATTAGGGATTGAACCCAGGAGCACCCTATCTCTGAGATATATCCCCAGCCCTTTTTATTTTTTATTTTGAAGACAGCCTCCCTGAGTTGAACTTGTGATCCTCTTGCTTCAGTCTCCAAGTCCTTGGGATTACAGGCATACACTGCTGCAAGTGGCTACATGTTTTTCTTTCTGTGGGGCTATTAGGGGTTCAGATATTTTCTTTAGCAGCAGCTTACTGAGGAGAAGCGATACTACACTCAGGCAGAATCAGGTGCCTTAGGTTTTGTTCTCAGGCTACTAACTAGACATGCAATCCTAGGAAAATGAGCTTGTTGCTCAGATAATTTCTGCAAGCTGCAAGGGATGGTACTCTAGAGCCATTGTTCATCTCTTTTGGAACACAGACCCTTTTAAGAATCTAAGAGAGTCTTGAGCCCTTATCCTGGTAAGAAACATATAAACACAAACAGCAAATTCCATGGAATTTCAGGAATTTAAAAGAAGCCCCTGATACTGATTCCCTGAAAATTTTCCAGATACTCCTTCCCCAAATCCCCTCCCTGAAGATCAAGAATTCTTGTCCTAGATATGACACTATTTACAATGGTACCTGTATGAGTTCTAATATGTTTCTGTAGATCTCCTGATGTTTTGAAAGATTTGGTACAATTATCTTCTGAACACCGATATGGCTTTTCTCCTGTATGAGTTCTGACATGACTTTTTAATCCATAACCTTCAAGGAAAATTTAAAAGAAATTTAATAACACAATACTCCTCTAAACATTCACATTGAAATTGAAGTACTGAAAAATATAGTAAATTCCAAGAATAAAACACGTTATTAAAAACGTCCTTAGATGGCTCAGGACTATCACACTGAAAATTTTTAGTAGTTTATCTTTGTTTAGAAGTGTGTGTTTAATTTTTTAAAAGTGTCCCAATTGGGCTGGTGTTGTGGCTCAGTGGTACAGCGCTTGCCTAGCACATGTGAGGCCCTGAGTTTGAATACTCAGCACCACATAAAAATAAATAAATAAAATAAAGGTATTGTGTCCATCTACAACTAAAAATATATTTTTAAAAAAGTGTCCCAATTATATTAGATGATGTTCACAACTCATATCCAAAAAGTTTAAACTGGATTCAAGACAAGGAACAAAGAATGAATGTCAGGAGGAATGGTACATGTTGGCCCTGCCACATATATCCCTGGGTAGACTCCATCCCACTGTTAAGTTCCAGTTCTCAGTGGTTCCCTAAGGTCTGTATTAATGTTAAATTTTTGGTCAGCTTTTAAAATCTGGCTTTTATTTTTCTTGCTAAAAGAAAGCAGAACATGTAGTAAAAAGCACCAAAGTAGGCAAAGACAGGTCTGTGAAGGAAAAAAAGAACACAGAGAGGGGTAGAGCAATGGGGCTAAGGAGGCAGTTAAGAGTTAAGAAAACCCAATAAGGGCTGGGGGATGTGGCTCAAGCGGTAGCGTGCCTGGCATGCGTACGGCCCGGGTTCAATCCTCAGCACCACATACAAACAAAGATATTGTGTCCGCCGAAAACTAAAAAATAAATATTTAAAAAATCCCCCCCCTCTCTCTCTCTCAAAAAAACAAAACAAAACAAAAACAAAAAAAACAACCCAATAAGAGATGGGGTTGTGACTCAGCGGTAGAGCGCTTGCCTAGCATGTGTGAGGCCCTGGGTTCGATCCTCATAAAAATAAATAAATAAAGGTATTGTGTCCGACTACAGTTAAAAAATAAATATTTAAAAAAGAAAAGAAAACCCAATCATGTGTTCTCTGGACTCAAGACAAGGATGAAGGGTCAAGTTTTTGCCCACTTATCTCTGCTTGACCTCCATCAGAACCTAGAAACAAAGAAAATTTATGTTCTTACCTGTTGCAAAAGCTTTCCCACAGCCTTGATGTTCACACTGATAAGGCCTGTCTCCTGTGTGTGACCGTTCATGGACCTATTATTAAAACACAGGCATGATTCCATTTCTTCCGCACACTCCTCAAGTAAGATGATTTTAACATAGACCTATTTTCCCCTCTTACTGCTGAGTGATTTTGTTGTATGCTTTTGAAAGAAATAAAACACCTTTTCCACAAAAACCATAGCCCAGGGATAGGGATATAGGTCAGTGGTACAGTACTTGCTTAGCATGGTGAGATCCTGGGCTGGATCCCCAGCACTGTAAAAAAGAAGATAAAGACAAGCAAACAAGCCAGGCGCAGTGGCACACACGTCAGAGAGACCTTTTTTGTATTTTATTTAGAGACAGGGTCACACTGAGTTGCTCAGCAACTGGCTTCTGCTGAAGCTGGCTTTGAACTCACAATCCTCCTGCCTCAGCCTCCCAAGCTGCTGGGATTACAGGCATGAGCCATGAGGTTTTGCCAGTTGCCCATGCTGACCTCAAACCTGCAATCTTCCTACTTCAGCATTCCAAGTAGCTCGGATTATAGGTGTGCACCATTATGCCCAGCTTACATTTAAGCATTTAAGTTTTTTTTTTTTTTGGTTGTAGATGGACACTATGTCTGTATTTTATTTATTTTTTTTAGGTGGTGCTGAAGATTGACTCCAGTGCCTCATGTATGCAAGACAAGCACTCTACCACTGAGCTATAGCCCCAGCCCATACTTAAGTTTTTATTTGTATTCCACATCTAGGATGAGGGGATAAAATGGGCTTAAAATATTCATTTTAATAAGGAATAACAATATTATAATATAACAGGAACATCTGAGGTCTGAGTTTTTCCAGAGTGATTAAAGGTACCTGCATGAAACATGCATGAAGAGAATTAGGACAGGGTGCAAGGAAACATTACCCAATGTAAAAAGTGTGGAGGCTGCTATTAGAGGGGTCTAAGTTTGAAGTAAGGTTCCACCACTTCCTTCTCTAAACCTTGAAGTCCTCTTTGTAAGGTGGGGACATAATAGTATCTATTGCTGTGACAAATGTGTAATCATGACAATGGCCATTCAATTAACATTTCTCACATATCAGGCCATTTTTCTTAGTACTTTACAGAAACAGCAGAACTTACTTAATTCTTATAACCACTCTGTGAGAGAGGTACTCTTATGATCCAATTATAGTTGGGGGTAATGAAGTACCAAGAAGTCAATTATAGGCCAAAGTTATACACTAACAAGTAATGAAGATGGACTCTTGGGTCACTACTCCAAATATGCTAAGTGCACACTTTCTGACATAGTTATTTAATATGTCTTAGATATTGTTATAATGAGTCACAGTACTTCTATTGTGTTCATCTACAATTAAAATAAAATACTTCGTCCAAAAATTTAATACAGGACAAATTAACATCAACTTTGCTGGATTCTGGTGAATCACTGTTAGCAGAGTGAACATACACATCTCTCATATAATTACATAAATTTCATATTTGACCAAATGCTTTGAAATATACAGAGTGTCTCACATGTGCCAGGTAATATGCAGGACATCAGGGATACACAGGTGAAAAAACACAGTCCAGGCCCTTAAAGAACTGACAGTTTCTACAGTCTATACAGACTTTTGTGTGTCTGAGTGTGAGCATGTGTCAGTATTTTGATAAGCATTTGAATGCTATATGCATATCACATTAGTTTTTAATGTCCTAGGTATACTATAACTAAATAAAACACATATATACACCTTGAGATGATGAGCTGTTGTATATAATTTTCCACATCCATCATATTTACATTGAAATGCTTTTTCTCCACTCTGTTGAGATTTAGCAGTTACTCTTGTTGCATGTCCTTGTAAGACAATCTAGATAAAACAAAAATTATGATTTAAATTACTCATATGGAAATAAAAAAGCTGAAATTTTCACAATAAAAGATAAAGCTATAATGTGGGTTCCAGATTCAGATAATCACTTTATCAAGAGTCTATCAATCTAAATCAGTCACATTCTTCCTGTTCCATTGCTGAAGTCAGCAGCTCTGAAATAGTCAAAAGGAGAGCTACAGTTGAAGGCACTGCTAGTTCAAAGATCTATTTCTCTCCTAGAAAATCAACCCAAGTACCATCCCCATTGTATGCACATATTTCCTGACATACTATTATTTAACTATGCTTTTTTTTAAGGACATATGCCCTAAAATGTCAAATACATTTTCAATTTCAGAAGCATTTCAAAAGCAATGAGAAAAGCTGGGCCTAGTGGCATACATGTGTAATCTCAGCTACTTGGGAGGCTGAAGCAGAAGGATCCTAAGTTCAAAGCCAGTTTAGGCAATCCTGTCTTAAGTCAAAAAATAAAAAGGGCTAAGGCTGGAATTGTGACTCAGTGGTAGAGTGCTCCCCTAGCATGCATGAGGCACTGGGTTTGATCCTCAGCACCACATAAATATAAAATAAAGATATTGTGTCCACCTAAAACCTAAAAAATAAATATTAAAAAAAAAAGCGATGTGGTATAGCTCATTGGTGGAACACTTCTGGGTTCAATAGTAAGAAAGAGAAGGCAGAAGAGAAAGAAGGAAAGAAGGGAGGGAGGGAGGAAAGAAGAAAGGAAGAAAGAGAAAGATGGAAGAGGTATGTGCAGGCATTAGGTCATTTAAGTCACCTATAGGAGATAATACAATCAATATCACATCTGTACTTATATTCAGCACCAGATCTTTTCTTTTGGCTATAATACCATAAGAATTCAAATAACACTCCTATGCTAGTAAAGGCTTTTAAAGATTGCTGCCTATTTTAGAAATTATGATACCACAAATGTTGAAGAATGACTGTCTACTATGTGGGTCATATAGTGATATGTTGCAATATTCTTTTCTGTGCTGGCTGTCACTCAAGGTTCAAAAATGACTCTTTCAGAGTTTTGTTGGTTTTTTTGTTTGTTTGTTTGTTTGTTTGTTTTTAGTTGTAGTTGGACACAATACCTTTATTTTATTTATTTATTTTTTTATGTGATGCTGAGGATTGAACCCAGGGCCTCGGATATGCCAGGTGAGTGCTCTATCACTGAGCCACAACCCCAGCCCCAGAGGTTTTTTTAATGTTGTAAAAATTCAAAATAATGAAGCAAAAATCATCACTGGGTGATACTACAGATGTTGTAGGCTTAAAAAGAAATCTGAAAATGAAAGGCAAAACAAGCATGTGATCCTGATGATTTTTCCTCAAAGATCTGTTAGATTCTCTTTGTTTTTGTTTAAAAAAATATCTGATTTATATAAGAGATTCTGCCATACCTCACCACTTTCAGATAAATATGAAGATTTTGGTAAGTAAATTTTCATAAATGTATTTTTAATTGCTTGCTGCTTTTTATCCTCATTCTTAAGGAAATTAATGTTTCATGTAATCTGATTTATGGGGTGAGAACTGATCAATAAAAATTATTTTAGGGTTGGGAAGGTAGCTCAGTAGAATACTTGCCTAGAATGGATGAGACCCTAGATTTGATACCCAGTATCACAAAAATTTTAAAAATCTACATTACCAGATATTTAGACTCTAAAGTAATGTGTTCTCCCATCTCAGGTAACCTCAGATTTCTTTTTTTCTTTAGTACTGGAAATTGAACCCAAGGCCTCATGCATGGAAAATAAGTACTGTACCGCTGAGTTACATCCCAGACCCTTTTTTTTTTTTTTTTTTTTTTTTTGCTGTACTAGGAATTGAATCTAGGGGTGCTCTACCACTGAGCTACATCTTTAGCCCCTTTGGGTTTGATCCCCAGTTTGGGGGGGGAAAACCAAGTATCTAACAAATTTTTCCTAATTTATACCATTTCATTTTCTAAAAAGCTTTATTTTTTTAAGTATATACAACAGCTATACGTATGGTAATATTATGGGTCATTTTGGGTTTTCTTTTTGGAAAATCTCCAAATTAAAAAAAAAAACACTAAAAATAGTAATATTGGCACTACGGATTGGACCTAGAACTTCATGCATATTAAGCACACACTCTATCATTGAGATACACCTCTAGCACGTTTTTAAAAAAATCCTAGATAAATATTTGAGGTGATGGATACGTTAATTATCCTGACCTGATCACTACATGTTGTCTATCTGTATGGAAATATCCCACTATACCCTCCAAAGAGGTATGACAATTTTTGGGTGGGAGGGCGGGGTTAATGGAGATTGAACCTATGAGGAACCTAGCACTGAGCTACATCCCCAGGTCTCTTTATTTTTTGAGACAGGATTTCCCTAAGTTGTTGAGGCTGGCCTTGAACTTGTGATCCTTCTCTCTCAGCCTCCAAAGTTGCTGTGTATATCACTGTGCCTGGCCCCAAAATATGTACAACTATTGTGTCAACTTAAAAAATCCTTTGCCCCTGACTAATAATCACTGATATAATTATTACCTTTAAGAGATGGAAAAAAGTGGGCTTAAAATATTTAAGAAAAGCAAGGTTTGGACTGGGGATGTGGTTCAGTGCAAGAACATGTGCCTAGCAGGCATGAGGCCCTGGTTCAACCCTCAGCACTGCAAATATATATATAGCAAGTTTCACTTGGTCAAGGTCATGTAGCTAGATTAAAAAAATACAGAAAACAAAACAAAAAAAAAAAAGATAAAATATGAACCACACCTAAATTGCCTATACTAAACAGGTTTGGTTCAATGCAAGAACACGTGCCTAGCAGGCATGAGGCCCTGGGTTCAATCCCATGATTTAGGAAAAACAACATCTACGGACTCTGCTAACCAGAGAAGACTGTACATCTATAGGCCGGCCAGTGATATAACAATGCCTATGTGGTCTGGCTTAAAAATTCAGGCTGAGCCCCATGCTACATGCCTTTATAGTCTCAGCACTCTGGAAACTGAAGTAAGAGGATCACTTGAGCCCAGATGTTTGAGGCCAGCCTAGGGAAAAAAAAAAAAGTCTCGCCAAGTGTACAGATTCTCTCTGCAGGAATTTGACCTAAGAAATAAATGAAGGAAGGAAGGAAGGGAGGGAGGGAGGGAGGGAGAAATGGAAATCCTGAGTTGGTCATGAGTGGTAAACCTGAGAAAGCATGGCTATGATGAGTCATGTGCAAACTCAATAAGAAGACAGAGAAAGCCTATCTCCAGAGAAAAGAGAGCAGAGATGCCATGGAAGAAACCAGCCCTTTGTGGGAAGTGGGAGAGAGAAGAAAAACAAGTGAGATCAGCCTCCATTCCTGATTCCTTTGTAATTCTAGTTCCTGTGCGGACTAAATGTTCAGCAGTTCCCATTCTGATCTTCTTATTTGCTCTGATATATCCTTACAACATATCTCTTTTTTCCTTGAGCTAGCTTGACTGGTTCTTGTGGGTCTTCCAACTATTACAGCTCTGATTAAAATACTGTCAAACCAAAGTACTTTGATCTCCAATTAAAGAAAAGTTAGTTTTGAATGATGAAAGGGCCTGGCATTCTAACATAACACGTAGAGTATCAACAATTATATGCATCTACAAATAGTATTTTCATGTGTTACTTAAAATATTAACCAAATGAAAATCTCACTTGGTTATCATAAACTCATGAGATGGGTAAAGCAAAGATGATCATCATTCTCATTTAACAGATAAAAAATTCAGATCCAGAGAAGTAACTTGCTCCAAGTCCCACTGCTACTATATAGCAGAATAGAAACTCAATCTGGATCTTTTGATTATAAATTGTATACTACTTCAATACTGTTTTCTACTTAATAAGGGTGTTGTAACATGAGGGCAATGACTATAGCTATAGTCTGCCACAAACACATCAGCCTCCCCCAGTGTTTTTACAGTTCTTACAAGTGAACACACAGGTATTCTTAGAGACTATTTTATATTGAGGTTTTAAATTCAGTGCTACTGGGGCTGGGGATGTGGCTCAAGCGGTAGCACGCTTGCCTGGCATGCATGCGGCCCGGGTTCGATCCTCAGCACCACATACAAATAAAGATGTTGTGTCCGCCGGAAAAAAAAAAAAAAAAACCTAAAAAATAAATAAATAAATAAAAATTCTCTCTCTCTCTCTCAAAAAAAAATTTTTTTTTCTTGAAAATAAATTCAGTGCTACTGACATTTTCAGAGGGTAACTCCTTGTTGGTGGAGCTATCCTTTGGGGGAAATCTCTACCCACCAAGTTTCAAGTAGTTTTACCTAAATTGTTGACAACCAAAAAAACTGTCTCTAGACATTGCCACATGTCCTGGGGCAAAACTGCCTCCACCTGAGAACTGCTTTAAGTACTCTAAGCCTTTCCTTGTCCGGTGAATTTTTTTGTTGTTGTTCATATCAGAGATGAGTTCAGTGGCACAACTAACATCTTCATGTTACAGCTGAAATAAAAATTCTAAACTATAAACATCACAATTTTTTTTTAAAATCTAGAGCTTAGAAACAAGACTATTTACAGGAAAATCTGTTGCTTTAGCTATCAATTTCTTTAAAGTTCAGGCAGACACAGAGCTACAACTTCATAAGCAAAAATGTAGAAGGAGCACAAAGAGATGAGACCAGAAGTTACACGTTCTGCTTATTTGCTACGATTCCTTGAGGCAGCCTGGCTTTTTAATACCATACATTGGGCCCTCAATCTCAAATGTGATACTCAATTGTTTTAGAGAAACAGGAAGTTTTGGTCAAGTACTAAAGAGAAAAAGAGTAAGTCACAAATACAAGCCATATATATAATTAAAATGTTCTACTGCCACATTGAAATGGGAAAAAGAAACAGGTAAAGTTAATTTTATCTAACCCAATATAATAGGCCGGATATGTGTTATTTCAACATGTATATGAAAAATTATTGATGAGATATTTTACATTTTTTTTCATAATAAGTCTTAAAAATCCACACCTTAATTCAAACTAACCACCAAGTGCTCAATAGCCACGTGTGGTTAGTAGCTACCATACTGGACAGCACAGATCTAGTCTGCAAGGAAAAAGACAGAAGGCTGTAGTCAAAAAAAATTCTATTGAACCGTCTTCTATAATTTTGTCTATTGGTACCAATAACAATGGTTTTATTTCTTCAGATAAAAAGTAATGAAGTTGTGGGGTATGGTGGCACATGGCAGCTTGGGAGGCTGAGGCAGGAGGATCATGAGTTCAAAACCAGCCTGGGCAATTTAGTGAAGCCCTAAGCAACTCAGCGAGGCCTTGTTTCTAAATAAAATATAAAAAAAGTGCTGGGGAGGTGGCTTAGTAGTTAATTAAGCACCCCTGGGTTCAATCCCTGATACTCCCTCAAAAAAAAGGTAATGAAGTTTTTAATGACATTTTTGCCTTAGCAATTCTCAATCCCTCTGTTTCTGGATTCAGAAATTAACAACTGATGTTAATAGTCTTTTATAATAATATATGTTAATAGGTTAAGAAGCCTGATGGTAAATTCATTCATTTTTTGGTTAAGTCTCACTCTATATTAGTTAATTACAAGCACACTTATAACTTCCTTTCTTTAAAAATATTCTACAGTTGCCAGGTATGGTGACACATGCCTATAATCCCAGTGATTTCAGAGGCTAAAGCAGGAGGATTGCAAGTTCCAGGCCAGCCTCAGCAATTTAGTGATAAAAAACTAAAAAGGGTGGGGATGTAGGTAAGTGGTAGAGTGCCCCTGGTGATAAAAAAGAGAAGAAGGAAGGGAAAAGGGGAGGAAAGGAGAGCAAAGGATGAAGGCAGGGAAGGAAGAGGGAGGGAAAGAAAGCAGAAGAAAGAGAGGAAAGAGGGGGAAAAGTACAAAAAGGGAAGGAGAAAGGAAGAAAGGGCTGGGAATGTATAACCTGATACAATACTCTGGGTTAATTTCCATTACCCCCCACCCCCAATCTATGTTTGCAGCATGGTGTTGCAGGCCTGTAGTCCTGGCTATTTGGGAAGTTGAAGTAGGAGGATCACAAGTTCAAAGCCGGCATGGGCAACTCAGCAAGACCCTGTCTCAAAATAAAAAATAGAAAAGGGGATGTATATAGCTTAGTAGTAGAGCACCCCTGGGTTCAAAACATAGTACTGCAAAAGAAAAAAATTCTAAGATTCTACTGCTTAAATATCTTATCATTTGGTAGTTACTAATAAGAAAACTTAATAGGCCACTGCAAGTCACTGAGCTATCTCTTGCATACGTTTACATGTGTTTCCATTTCAGTAGAATTTAGCTGAGATGAATTTGACATAATAAAATTTAAAAATATTAAGTCTCATTCATAAAATGTGAAAGTGAATTCCAAGACTTGAAAACTTTACCAAGAATCACACAATTTCAAAGCTCATGGACTTAGTAAACAGAAAATTAAATTTATATTCTTGTTACTCTGTAGCACCATTTGAGCTGTTAAATATATAGACTGGCCATTCAATCATCAAACTTGTATCAGAGATATCAGTAATTCTTTTCTTTTATCGTTTATTAGTATTATAACTGAAAAATCTCTTGATAAGCCCTAACAATCTCACTAAATGTTATTAAGTGGTGATGTTAATGCTCAAAAACGTGTCCCTGGCTGATCACAGAGGCATATACCTGTAATCCCATCTACCTGGGAGGCTAAGGCAGGGGGATCACAAGTTCAAAACCAGCCTGTGCAATTTTAGTGAGAACCTATCTCAAAATAACATTAAAAAATAGTTGGGGGGTGCTGGGGTTGTGGCTCAGTGGTAGAGTGCTCGCCTAGTATGCATAAGGCACTGGGTTAGATCCTCAGCATCACACAAATATAAAATAAAGATATTGTGTCCACCTAAAACTAAAAAATAAATTTTTTTTAAAAATATTGATTTTTCAGTTGTAGGTGAACACAATATCTTTATTCATTTTATGTGGTGCTGAGGTTTGAACCCAGTGACTCAGGTGTGCTAGGCGAGTACTCTACTGCTGAGCCACAACCTCAGCCCAAAAAATAAATATTAAAAAAAAAAAACAGTTGGGAATATAGCTTAGTGGTAGAGTGCTTTCCAAGCATGTACAAGGCCTTGGGTCCAATTCCCAGTAAGAAGGGGGACAAAAAAGATGGTTACTTGGGTGGTTAATAGGGTGTTACCTGAGCAAGGGGTAGCCAATGACTAGACCAAGGGTGAACACTGAATCAAAGGGAAGCCACAGGCCATCTGCAGCCCAGGAAGCAGTCTGGTACAAAAAGTACAATATCAGTTTTGCTAAGTATGAATAATAATGATTAGCTTGTCTGGATCTTCCCTTCAGAATTTGAAAAGGAAAATACGGGAATAGAAGTAGAAGAAACTTTTAAAACATACAAATGGCAAAGTATACACAATGGAATATTACTCAACATTAAAAGAAAATAAAATCATGGCATTTGCAAGTAAATGGATGGAGTTGGAGAATACAATGCTAAGTGAAGTAAGCCAATCCCCCAAAACCAAATGCCGAATGTGTTCTCTGATACAAGGATGCTGATTCATAATGGGGATTGGGGGGGAGTTTGGGAGGAATGGACAAACTTTAGATAAGGCAAAGGGGAGAAAGGGGAAGAGAGGGGGTATAGAGGTAGGAAAGTCGGTGGGGAAAAAAAAAAAGGCAAAATAGCAAGGATTAGGTCATAGTAATGAGTGAGTCACAGAGAATGGATCCACAAAATTCCATGAATGGGACAGTAAGAAAACTGCCTGTTTCCAAAACTGCTTTGGATTCCAGAATACAAACTAAGCTGGATTTCTGTGATATTTCTATTTCTGTAATGTCACTCTACCACCACTAACAAATCTTAGGGCCTGAGGTAATTTGAGAAAGCTGGTCCTAATACGGATACTGTTTTTCTGAAATGGTGCAATTTTCCTGGAAAAGTAGCATGATCTCTATTGTTGCTTAGAAAACATTAAGAGATTCTTATATAACAAAGGAGATTTACATACCTGCATTTTTTTCTCTTGTTCATTTTCTCCAATTATTCCAGTACCTGTTACACTTTCACTTCCATCAATGGACACCTATAGGAATAAAATAAAGCTTAAAGATGTTTTACCTTTGCATTTTTAAAAATACCTTCATTTTATTTATTTATTTTTATGTGGTGCTGAGAATTGAACCCAAGGCTGCACACATGCAAGGCGAGCACTCTACCACTGAGCCACAACCCTAGCCCCTTATCTTTACATTTTTACAGTGGGGGGACAGATACCAGGACGACTTCATGCCTGCTGGGAAAGCCCTCTTCTACTAAACTACATCCTTACCCCATGTTTTACATTTTGGTAATGTATGGCAGGTGAGAACATGGAGGTTTTGTTGTTGTTGATGTTGTTGTTATTATTATTAATATTATGTGTGTAAACTTCCCAAATAAAAATTGAAAAAAAAAAAACTTAAATTAAATGAGAGAAATATGTTTGATGCAGGAAAAAATACCCACCACCACCCCCTTTTAGAGCTGGGGTTTTTGTATGTTACTCAGGCTAGCCTAGAACTCTGAGACTCAAACATCTTCTTAACTCAGCCTCCCAAAGAGCTGAAACTATAGCCATACAGCATTACACAATGATCAAAACTCAGGCCATCTCTTTTTTTTTTTTTTTGGTACCAGCGATTGAACTGAGGGGCACTTTAGAACTGAACCACTGTTGCAGCCCTTTTTTACATTTATATATACATATATTACTTACATTTATATATATATATATATATGTGTATATATGTGTGTGTGTGTATATATATATATATATAGAGAGAGAGAGAGAGAGTGTGTGTGTGTGTGTGTGTGTGTGTGCTTGCGTGCGTATAATGAGTGAGTCACAGAGAAAGGATCCACAAAATTCCATGAATGGGACAATAAGAAAATTGCCTGGTCTCCCAAACTGCCTTGGATTGCAGAATATAAGCTCAGCTGGATTTCTGCAATATTTCTATTTCTGTAATGTCACTCTACCACTGCTAACAGACTATATATATATATATATATATATATATATATATATATATATATATATATATACATACATACATTGCTGGTTCTGCATTGCTAGTTTCCCAATGCAAAAATATATATATATAATTGTGGATGATTATTTATTTATTTATTTATATGTGGTGCTGAGAATCAAACCCAGTGCCTCACATATGCTACAAAAGCACTCTACCACTAAGCTAAAATCCCTTTTTTATATTTTATTTAGAGACATGGTCTCGCTGTGTTGCCTAGGGCCTTGCTAAGTTGCTGAGATTGGCTTTGAACTCATGATCCTCCTGCCTCAGCCTCCTGAGCCACTGGGATTATAGGCATGCTGGGCATATCTATACTTTATTATTTCTTTTATAGCACTCATCCTTGAATATCTCTTTTTGTAAATTACCTGCTAATTCATTTATTTTCTGTAAGTTCTTACCCCATTCCCTCATTTTTTCTTCCAATATATCTTTTTACACTTCACCTTTTTAAGATAAATGCAGTTCTCTTTGAGGTTGAATGATTTTGGTTCTGCATTGCTAGTTTCCCAATAAAGTGTACTTTTTTTTTTTTTTTTTCATGAAAAATAAAGAGGCTGTACCTGGGACAGTACTGAAGTAAAATACCATACCTTTGCTGCATACTGTTCCAAAGCACTGATAGTGTCAGGGTCAATTGTGCCATCGCCAGTGTGAAGCCCTGCGACTGTCCCATCGGCCTGAATTGCCAAGATGGTGTCAGACTGCGGGACTTGCACTGCATGGTGGATATAGGCTGTGGTGCCATCTTCCAGCTGAACAGCCTGTAATGCACTCTGGTCATAACTATCTGAAGGAGTAGAAGAGAAAGGCCTTAAAGTTTGACAAACAGTTACATATTTAAAAGAAGAAGGGAATAAACTTTTACTGAGTAGTACTAGAACCACCAGATGATGTGCTTTATGTTATTTCATTTAATTCTCAAAAAACTTCTATGAAACAGGTATATTTACTACCATACAAATGGGAATCAGAATTTGAGAAAAGTCACTTTCCTTAGGAACCAGGAAATTTTTAAAAACCTAACAAGTAATAGTCAAAATCAGTTGTAAAGAAACCAGGATGTGGGTTGAGGTTGTGGCTCAGTGGTGGAGAACTTGCCTATCCTGTGTGAGACACTGGGTTCGATCCTCAGCACCACATAAAAATAAATAAAATAAAGATAGGGAAAAAAAAAAGAAACCAGGATTTGAATTGATGTAATTATGACTCTAAAGTCCATAGTGTTTACTGTTCCAAATGGTTTCTGGCAGCTCAAATTGTGAGAAAGCTTTCTCTTTTTAACTGTGTGCAAGCCAGGTGCCTTGAACTTCAAAGGATAAATACAATTTTTACACATGACGATACTTCAGCAGATATTATTTTTCCCATACTCCCACTTCTCCCTTACTTCATATTTTCAAAGTTACTGTACCTTTGGAGGTATGATGAATAAATGCTGTGGTTCCATCTTCTAACTGCACTGCTTGACCATCCTCTAGACGCAAACTGTCCCCTGCTCAAGAAACAATTGTTTACATTTAGGTCCCATGCTTTCCAACATGTTCCAATTAACTAACTTGGCAAAAAACAATCAATTAGCTATTAAATGCATGATGACAACCTATAGTTGCTTTATGAGTCAATAAAGCTGCTTTGAGAAAGCACTTAAAAGCAATATAATACTTGTTTTAGGAATACACACAAGAGGGGAAGAGAGTTGAAAGTAGGGGAAAAAAGAAGAAAAAGAGTAATGTAGGATTCATTTCAAACAATAGACACATTCACCTAGGACTGCTACCCACTAATTTCTAGAACTTCCTTTCCACTATCTTTGAGACTCAGTCTTGGTTACATTAAAACGGTCTTTAAGCCAGGTGCAGTGGTGCACACCTACAATCCTAGCTACTTGACAGGCTGAGGCAGGAAGATTGCAAGTTTGAGACCAGCCTGGGCAACTTAGCAAGACCCTGTCTCAAATTTCTTTAAAAAGGGCTGGGGTTATGGCTTCGTAGTAGAGCAGTGCTGGGTTCAATCTTCAGTATTGGAGAAAAAAACAACAACAAAAAAGGTCTTTAGATCCTACCTCTGGCACCTACTTATCTCCCTTTTCAAAAAAAGGCAGACTAGAAATCAGGACCAAATTTAGGTAATATGAGGAAGCTGGTGGCAGCAAACACCAAAATCAGAGAATCAGGAGGTTTCCTGTGTTGCATCTTAAATACTTACTACTTTTAGGTATGGGCACATGTTGAACATAGGCAGCAGAACCATCTTCCAACTGAATGACTTGGCCATCAATGAGCTTCCCATCTGGAACAAAAGATTCAAGCCAATAAATTAGCACAAACAAAAATTTTTTAACTTTATACAATTTCAAAATGATATCAACTATAAAAACATACACTACTTAAGCTCATGTTCATCTTGATTCTTCCCTCAACGTTCTGAGGCAATTCAATAACACATCCAGTGATCCTATAGAAAGCAGAAAATCCTCCCTCAGCCATCCTTCCTCCCCTCCAATTTTCAATCAAACAAGTACAAGAGGAAGAGTGGCTCATCACAGCAAGCTACATGAATTGAACCTCAACGTACCTTTCAGAACCACTCAGAATCAGTGACCCTGACTATGGGGAAGCTGAACAGTATGTCAGCGTATGTGAGGCTGGTTGTCACTGTCACTCCTGGGAGGAATGCAGACCCTGTGTATATACATTTGTGCTCAGTAGGTTCCCATAAAAACAAGGAGTTTTAGAATTGGGCTATTTCCTGGAGCAAAGTAAACAGTAACTTAGAGACAATGTTACAAAAGCAAAACCAAATGTCTACCCTTATGTTTAATAAACACATTAAATAACAACTTAAAGTTAAAAAACAAAAGAATGGTTTTGCTCAAAATAGGAAACAGGTCAGACACACTCCCTTCCCTCCTCTCTCCCACTAAATTTGATACCCTAGAGTATCTTCCTATTATCTAAAAGGGTGTCCCAAAATTATCCAGTTATCAAAATTTAAGTTAAAAATAATTTTAAATTATTATAAGCAATCTAGTGTCTTTAGGAGAGACTGGGAAGGAGGTATAGTTGCTAGGGGTTCCAATGCTAAGGTTATAAATTGCTGGTACTAACCAACTGGCCATTTAGGAGGCACATACCTTTAGAATTGTGTTGTATGTAAGCAGTAGAGCCATCTGCAAGTGTTACTGCTTGCAAGCTTACACCTTCCATATTTTCTAAATTGTCACCATCTATTATAAAACAAAATTACTTTCTTTAGATAACTATTATGTGCATGCTGATTAATTTTTTTTTAAAATGAAGATTAGCAATAGGCAGGTTGCTTTACCTAATTCTTAGAGACCAAAATGGAATCTCTTTTAGCATTTACTAAAAAATATTTCCCTGCCCTGCTATACCCAATGCCCACATCAGGGGAAAAAAAAAATGCTCATAATAGCCAGGCATGGTGGCACACTCAACAACTCAAGAGGCTGAGGCAGGAGGATCACAAGTTCAAGGTCAGCCTCAACAACTTAGTGAGACCCTGTCTCAAAATAAAAATTTAAAAAGGCTGGAGATGTGATTGACTGATTAATTATCACTGGGTTTAATCCCCAGTACCAACAAAACCTCAGAAAGGCCTAGGTTTATGTTAACTCTAATTAAGTTACAGGGAAGTAAATACAGTGTCATAAATTTCTATTTAAGATAAATAATATTACCAAACTCATGTGGTCCCTTCAAATATGACTGCTCACCTGCCACAGTTACTGCTTCTGTGAGGCACAAGGTAACATGTTGAGCCTCCATTCCTCCTCCAGGAAACTCTGTCATTCCTTGAGAATCCCGATTTATCTGGGCTAACAACATTTTCTACCTTGAAGAAAAATACAGTCCCTTGAGGATAAACAATGACACATATAAAACAAAAGACATAAATATATTACTGAACCCGCCCCAAAAATTTTGAAAGACATAAACAGTATGTGATATTTGATATAACATGCAATTTCACTTAATATGCAGGGTAAGAGTATTAAAACTACAAAAGTATGTCTTATACCTCAAGAAAGTAGCACTAATGACATGACTTAGTAAGGGCACACCTGAACAAAGCTGAATGGTAAGTATACTCTGGTTTGCTTTCCGTGAGACTAGGGAGTCTGAGGAACAGAAGTAGAGAAAAAAGATTCTGATATTCCAAACACCACTTCTGAAGTTGCTCTATTAAAAGGCATGCAGTTTGGCCAGGTGTGGTGGTGCATGCCTGTAATCCCAGAAGCTTGGGAGGCTAAGACACAAGGATCACCAGTTCAAAATCAGCCTCAGCAACTAAGTGAGACTCCATCTCTAAATAAAACATAAAAAGGGGCTGGGGATGTGGCTAAATGGTTAAGTGGCCCTGGGTTCAATTCCAGGTACCAAAAAAAAAAAAAAAGCCATTTCAAAATTCACAATAGTAGATTGTACTTTAAATCCCCCAAGATGAACACTGCATATGTTAACTGTTTTTCGAGGGGTGGTAGGGGGAGTAACAGGCACTCAACCACTGAGCCACATCCCCAGCCCTAATTTATATTTTATTTAGAGACAGGGTCTCACTGAGTTGCTTAGCACCTTGCCATTACTGAGGCTGGCTTTGAACTTGTGATCCTCCTGCCTCAGCCTCCTGAGTCAATAAGATTACAGGCATGCACCACCACACTCCAGCTCCTGTTTATTAGTTTTGAGGTACAGAGTTGCAAAAAGTGATAGTAAAAGAACAATCAGAGCATATTATAAAAGCTTTCAAGTATGTACTGGAGTAGAATCTTTTTTTCAAATAAACACACACACAATCTTGAACCCTACTAAAAAACAGCTAAAAGTGGCATTTAATTATAAATGCATTTTAAGTGTAAACTTTTGTTTTCTTCTTTTTTAAAGTATAACCTTTTAAATTTTATTCATGAGAATGATTGCTTAGATGAACTCAAAATCTTAAATCAAAATAAAAGTGATGTTAGCAGGGTTATGCATCCAATTTATCATAGAGCCAAGAGAAGAAACAGAAAGGTAAAGCTGATTTGCACAGATTAATTCAGAGATCAACTTTTTAAAAATCCCACAATATGCTTTAATCAATTAGATCTACTGGCACTAGAACAGCAGTAGATAATATGTTTGAAGTTTAATCACTAATTATTTTTAAGATATACAGAGTAAAGTACTTGCATACCAGAGGACTGAAGGAATATCTAAAAAGCACTGGGTACATCCTCTCTGTGGAAAATAACTCTATTTACATGAAACACAAAAGTAGAAAATATTTCTTCATATATTTAGATTCTTTAAAGCTTCATATTATCAATTTAAACCTGAAAGTGAAAAATTGAACACAACTTCAGCATACTAGGAGATATACCAGTTGTGGTATATCTAATATACTAAATATACTAGAAATAAATTTTAGCATTGTGGGGATGGGGTTGTGGCTCAGTGACAGAACACTTGCCTAGCATGTGTGAGGCACTGGGTTCGATTCTCAGCACCACATAAAAATAAATAAAAGTATCATGTCTGTCTACAATTAAAAATATTTAAAAAATTTTTAGCATTGTTTTATTAAATATAAGTAATAAGATGCCAAGGCAAAGAAACCAGGCATTTGTTCCCATTTGTTCCTACTTCATTTAGTCTCTTGTTTATACTAAAAATAGTAACTTACCACCACAATCTTACCTTAAAAACTATAAATCTAAGTACAATTTATATGCAAGGGTTTTCTCATAAGAGTTTCATCACAGGTGCACAATAAAAAGACTCCAGGACCTTGGTTCAATACCCAGTACTAACAAAAACAAACAAGCCAAAAATTATACAAATATATACTGTGTATATATATAATGTATATATAACTATATATATGTGTGTGTATATATACACATATACATATATATACATATATGTATATATATCCTGTTTCTTCCCAAATAAACACAACACATTCCCTACCACCATTAAGGTTTGCCAATTCATCTTTCTGCTCTAAGAGGTTTGCCATCTGGATTTGCCTATTTTCATCAAAGTGAGACACCCAGAATAAAAATTATTAGGTCACCCCTTAACTAAATTTTTCATTTAATTTTATTTTTTTATGGTACTAGAGCTAGAACTCAGGAGCACTTAACCACTGAGCTACATCTCCAGTCTTTATTTAATTGTTTTATTTTGAGAAGGGCCTTGCTTAGTTGCTAAATCTGGCTTCGAGCTTGTGGTCCTCCTGCCTGAGTGTCCTAAGTGGCAGGGATTACAGGAATGCATCACCACCCTTGGCTTAAATTCTGATTACAAGACAGCAGTTGCCAACACCATGATTTTCACTCTTCAAAACTTTTTCATCTCATATCTTTTGTGTGTACATGGTGCTAGGGATTGAACCCAGGACTTTGTGCATTCGACGCAAGCACTCTACCAACTGACTTACATACCCAGCCCTCATTTTGTATCTTAACTATTGCAATAAGCTCTTTATGTTCTCTTTGTGCCATTCTCATTCTTCAAGTCCATAACAGGGCCAGCTATCTCACTCTATTCTGTATACCACTGAAATTTTTCTTGTGTACAATATTACAAAATAAATTTTAAAATTAAGAAAAATGGAGCTGGGGATGTGGCTCAAGTGGTAGCGTGCTCGCCTGGCATGCGTGCGGCCTGGGTTCGATCCTCAGCACCACATAGAAACAAAGATGTTGTGTCCGCCAAAAACTAAAGAATAAATATTGGAATTCTCTCTCTCTCTCTCTTTAAAAAAAAAAAAATAAGAAAAATGATTCTCAATAGTTTAAAATCAAATATTTTCATTTTTCTTCTTTAGTTCTTGCTATCTATATATACATATATTTTACAGTGTTGTAATTAGAGATATTATTTTGTATTCAGTTTTTAAAATTTTAATAACTATGGAAATCGATCCCTAAAAATAGAATCTTTAGCTTTTTTCACTTCTATAAGTTCTGCCAAATTGACAACACATCTTAATAATGATCACTTTTAATTCATTTTTTTTTTGGCGGGGGGGGGGGGGGGTTACCAGGGATTGAACTCAGGGGCACTCAGCCACTGAGCCACATCCCCAGTCCTATTTTTTGTATTTTATTTACAGACTGGGGTCTCACTGAGTTGTTTAGCACCTCACTTTTTGCTGAGGCTGGTTTTGAACTTGCAATCCTCCTGTCTCAGCCTCCCAAGCCGCTGGGATTACAGGGGTGCACCACCACACCTGGTGATCACTTTTAAATTAAATTAAGGTGTCCAGGGTGTAGCTCAGTGGTGGACTGAGCACTTGGCATTCGAGGGATCTTGGATTCAATCCCCAGCACCAAATGAACACAAAAAACAAATAAAACAACATTAAATTCTCTTATAAGCCATTTAACATTTTTCTTACTAAATATAAGGCACAAATGACTTTGTCATTAAAAATAATCTTTCAGTAAATATGTTTACAAATATAGTGTCTTTGGAGAAGCAGAGTAGATTATATCCTTAACCTCTCAGAGCACATGCCTGTAAGCCCAGCTAATCAGGAGGCTAACGCAGGAGGATTACAAGTTTAAGGTAGACTCAATAACTCAGCAAGACGCTGTTTCAAAATAAAAAATATAAAAAGGGCAGGGAGCTGGGTGCAGTGGCGCAGCCTGTAATTCCAGCAGCTTGGGAAGCTGAGACAGGAGGATTGTGAGTTCAAAGCCAGCTTCAGTAATGGCGAGGTGATAAGCAACTCAGTGAGACCCTGTCTCTAAATAAAATACAAAATAGGGCTGGGGATGTGGCTCAGTGCCCAAGTGGCCCTGAGTTCAATCCCTGGCACTCCCCCACAAAATAAATAAAAAGTAAAAAGGGCTGGGGGTGTAGCTCAGTGGTAGAGCACCCCTAGGTTCAATACCCAGTACCACTCAAAAAAAAAAAAAAAAAAAAAGAAAAAGAAAAAATCCTCCCACAATTAAGTTTAGTGGATCAGAAAATATGAGCATTTTTATAACAATCAGTGATCATTACTTGCATGTCTGGGGCGGCAGGGGTGGTGGTGATGGTGTGTCTATAGAGCTGGGGATTGGACCTAGGGCCTCATGTATGCCAAGCAAGTGTTCTACCATGGCCCTCTTTATGGTTTGTTAGGGTTTTTTTGGTGCTTCACTGCTGAGTTTCATCCCCTGTCCTTTAATTATTTAAAAAAAATTTTAAGACAGGGTCTTGCTGAGGCTGGCCTCAAACTACAATCCTCCTGCCTCAGCCTCCCAAATTATTGCTGGGATTATAGGTGTGTGCCATGTCATCTTATACCCCCAAAATGCTGGGGATTGAACCCAGGATCTTATTCATGCTAGGCAAATGCTTTACCACTGAGCCACATTGCCAGCCTGCCTGTCATTATTTTTTAAAATGGTTGTATCAACCATTTTGCTACCAGCAACATAATGAATATGCTAATTTCACCACATTTTTACTGGTATTTGACGTTATGCTAGACCCTCTGTTTGATTTAAGAGAGGGATAATTAAAGATAATCAAAGAAGGGAAGCATTAAAATGATACGTACCTTGAATGTTTTTAGTTTAAACACAGAAACACATTTTTATTCGCTAAAGCTCTTAAAAAAAATCTTCTTCCTGAGAATTGGTCTATGGAATTGGTCTATTTTCAGCATTGTCTTTTTGTAAAAATCCCTAGGACGACACATTGTAGTTTGGGTTCCTTTAAAGTAGAGCAAAATCTTAAGATTCTTGCAAAGGATTCTAGGATACAATGCTTCCAGATTTGAACATTTCTTCCTTCTAATATTTTACTCATACTGCTTGTAGATCTTCTGACATTCAGGCAATACTCCAATTTGGC